TAACAATTGAGTAGCATGAGCAAGGATGCACCTGCTCTTAGAATACAAACTTCAGCAAATACTCACTTTGCATCGCTGGGCTATTTCAGTAGAGCTGTGTTCCTGCAAGACTGTCATGTGGCTTTGCTAACGACAAAAGAATTTTTTGGTATATAGGTGGTGCTGCAGTGGTGTCAAAAAACACTTATTTATTCAGGTAATTTTTTAAAAAAGAATTACACTTTCAAGTTCCTCTTTGAGTCTTTCTAGCAGATTTTACTTTGTATTTTCAGAGATGGATTAAGGTATATGTGCTACACTGTGGTTGCATGATGAAGATGCTAACAGTGATCAAATGGGGACATTCATTGCTTACCTCACCTCAGTTTTTCTACTGTGATCTTGTTTTCTTGGAATCAAAATATCAGCATTTGCAAGGAGTTTTAAGCAGCTGTGGCACAAATGCAAGGCAATTTGGTTGTTTTAACGCTGAATATACAAGGGACATATGGAGCCCTGTGTTATTCCCTTCTGACTGTTACAGAATTGTCCATCGCTTGTCTCCCAAGGGCAATGTGAAATTGCAGTCACCTGTTCAGCAAACAGATTTCACAGGACTGTGCTTTCAGCTCTTGCTCCTTATAGATACGGTATCCAGTTGCTTCAGCATTGCTTATTTCTGTTCTCCCTTTCATTTCCCTTTGGGCTATGCACAGTTTGCCTGCCTTGCTATTTAATGAGAAATCTCTTGGTATTTCTGAACATTTGAGGAAGTGTCTATTAAACACGAATCTTAGGAAGGGGTTGGGCAAACTCTCATTGCCTCATGCCCAGGATTAGCCATGTGTTATGTTAGTACTAGGAGTCCACCTTCAACAAAAGCTGTTTGAAAAGCATCTAAGAGAAATCCCAGCTGATTAAGTGTGCTTTGTGTGAGAGCAATTCACAATTAGCAGTCTCTTCCCTTAAATTGTGCTTCTTGTTTTCATGGTTCAGAGATGCAGCAAAGACATTCCAAGCAGTGAGATTTCACTACAACTATGGATTTTAAGAGTAATGAACTGCAGAACAACACATTTTGGGGACATTAAAGGTACTCGTTTGGTAAAATGAAATTTTGTACCTAAATTGCTTTTTGGATTTGTAGTGTGTTTGTCTTGGTCTTTGTTGGAAGGAGATGGCTGTTTCTCCAGCCATTATGAACTTACTCAACATGATACAGTGCAGAAAGGAAGTCTTTGTCTGTGCTCATTCCAATTTGTTATAGGTTTGCTTGAGTCCTGCAAGGCATTTGTATACTGTAAGACAAAACTGGAAGCTGTGTTTCTGCATGACATGAAGAGCCCTCAGCCATGGCCTGCTGGGTCTGGAAGCAGCAGATCTCTAGGGCAACAAGTCACAGCGCACAAATAAATGTTATGTTGATGCAGCAGCAGAATTTGAAACAAAAAGAAATCCCCTGTAGCCTGTTTTCCTGATGATTAGCATGCACACATAGAAGGTGAGACCTTCACAGGGTTTTGTCAGGATAACGAAAATCTAGCAGTCTGTTTTCCCATTTTTACCCTACATTATGCAGTGACCTGTTTTGCTTTGGACCCATTGGCTCTACCAGTCCTCCTCCCTTTACTGATGTGGAAGCAGCAGTTTGCCTTGCAGCTTGGGTTGCTCAGAGACCTGGGGCTGGCCCAGTGGGAGCACAGCAAAGCACTAAAAGTGGCAAGAGAGCAAAATCAGCAACTGTGACTATAAGAAAGATGTCAAATTTTTATCTGCCATCCTTTTATCAGTGAAACGCTCACCTTGTATCAATCATGACCAGCATACAAAGGGAGCAGTCTGCTTTTGTTACTTATTAATTTCTCTCCAGCTCCTCAGTAAGGTTGTAACCATCTGATATGTGAGTTTTGTTTTGGCATAGAGTGTATCATTAGTTGCTGTCCTTTGCAGGATCCATGCTACTTTGTACATGTAGGAAACTAACAGCATGACAGAGTTCTATGAATTGCACAGGAAAGATGCTTCTGGTCATCCTGCTCTATCCTAGGAACTATTGGAGGGCTGTGACAACCATTCTTAAGAAAGCTGGCCACTATGCTTCCACATATGCACTGAGGTTACCATGTCCACTTTTGCAGAGATCAAAGGTGTTACCAATTAGGGGAGAATTATACTGAAAGTTCCTTGTGGCAAAGGTCTAGGGCTGACTCTGTTGCATTCATGTATGAGTTGTCCAGAATGTGAAGAGGTTAGAGGAGATGGAACAAATGGCGTTTGCCTCTGTGACAATTCAGATGTCCAGAAAAGCTCTCACTCCTTCAGCTATTTACTCTTCAACGACACAGTACGTTCTGGAATATAAATAAGATACGTACATGGCATGTTTACAACATACTTCTCTCACTCTTTCTCTACTTTCCCCACCTTTGTTGTGCCTTGCCCCAAATATCAGTCTGATTTTTGCAGATGAATCAATTGGTTTGGTGGACGATCACTGCTCCCTGTAGCTGTGTTTCTTGAGGGGTTGCCTACTACTTGTGTGGTGGGGCTTAGAGCCTGTGTCACCAGGTGAACAAAGGGGTGGCACTGGTACAGATGAGCTTGGAGCATAGTAAAGCTGGTAGCACAAAAATAACCTGGTTTGGAAAACAGTGACCTAAATGTCTGAACAATGTCTCTGGGAAAAGGGCTGCTTTTTCTGAGCTAGAAGCAGTTTGGAAGAAAAGCAGTGTTGTCATGTGAACAGGGCATGCAACACTGGCTCTATGGGCTGCTGTTTGATGGGCTGTATTTATCATGCTTTTAATATGAAAGACTGTTTTGCAAAAGATTGTGTTTGCAGATGAAAAGGTATTGAACACTGGGGAAGAAACAGTTCTGCATCCACTAAGTTCAGAGCTTTAGGACCTGCGTTTTGGAAAGCATACTGCTAAGTTTCCAGGACCAACCTCACTTGGAGCTGTCCTTTATTAGTGGAGAGACTGCTGCTTGTGCACAAACCAGAGGCTGCAGGCGGTGTGACCAGCTATCTGTAGAGTTGCTGGTCCCTTTTCCTGTTATGTATTTCATCCTTACTATTCTCTCCCTGCTTCTGTGCCTTTTTCTCTTTTCTTCCCCCCTCTTGTTTTCTCCATTTCTCATGCTCCAGTAAATGATCTTTTCAGACAAGCATCACAGAAAGACTGGTTTTTAGATTAACACAAACTCAGCTTCTTATATTGACTGGCCTGAAACAGCTAATATGATTTGCACTTCTGTTTAGCAAATTTCTATTATTAGACTGAACACACCGAGACTAATATGCAGGTAAATATAAGTCACCAGTGGAGCTACTAATTTGGTAGATTAATTAGTCATTCCAATTGGATTTGTTGTCTCCAAACAGACAAGATTAAAGCAAGGAACGATCTCTGACTGGCTTATCTTTTGTGGATAAACGACTTCAATATGACACGCTACCTTGTATAAGTCAGATGTCTGGTTATTAGTGCCTGGATATTGCACCCAGCAGTGAAGTGGGAGGGCAGCTCCTCCTGCCATTAGTCATTATGCCGAATACTTCATCTCAGACAGGTCCCTGACTTCTGCCAAGATCCTGGGCAAGGCGGATGGGCTGCTTTTCATAAAATGGCTGTTCTGCCACTGAGACACATGTCCTGTGCCTTCAGTGCAGGAATCTGTTCTTCACTTGTCTCAATCCAAGCAGCCTCCTCCATACTCTCCATATCTAACTGCAGTCCAGCTGCAGATCCCCTTCCTGCTTAGTGATACAAGAGGAGGAATGTTCTTGTGGTCCTTGACATCTGTTCACAAGAAGCAGATTGAGAACCTAGGGTTCAAAACAAATGCAGAGTCTGTGTGCCTCTTATTTCAATTTCTTTCTTTTTTTTATTTTTATTGATGTCTGTCCCGTAAAGACTGAGCAGGTGGAATGAAAAAAAAGCTGCCTTTTTTTCTTTAAAGAGAAGTTACGTGCATCGGCTGAGGTGGGCACTGATCGGGAGTGGTTCAACTTTTTAAAAAGACTTCTATTATCAAACTGAAACAAAGTTACTTTGTACTATAGACACAGAGAATGGACCCATTTCCCCTGTGTCTCAGGTGGCTAAGAAAAGTTCCTTCCCTCTTTGTTATTGGTGCTCCCCAGGGCTCGCCTCTGTGTGGGAGGCGACATAAAAACCACTAAGAAGGACTGAGGAAAGCCGTCTCCCCTTCTGTGTAGGGTTGGTGTTGTTTATTGGAGCAGATTCTGTCTTCAGTGGTTTCCTTTCATTATCACCTGCAGGTATTTGCATCTCTCTTTGCTGACTTCTGTGGAAGGCAAAATTCCCTGCTTTCATGTCAGAAAAGCCTTTTAGCCCGTGGTTGCTGAGGAAAGGGGAAACCTGACCTAGATGAAGAGTTCCAGCATTGTTTCACCTGTTTTTAAGCAGATAAAGTACAGCAAACAGGACAACGTGTCCCATGCGTTGTCTGGAGAATTTCATTTCCCTTCCCTAAGTATTGAGTCTGTTGAAATTGTCCATAATTTTAATCTGTAGCTCTGACATGTATCAGCTTCAGCACCAGGAATGTCCTTTTGTTGCTTTTTTTGGTTGTTGTTCTTGTTTTTAAACTATTTGCAGTCTGTTTCACTGCCTTCTGTCTTGATGTGCATCAGGCACATCTCTGCCTCTCAAAGTCAAAACAGCTGCATCTCAGAAAGAGGGGAAGCTTCCAAAGAAAAAAAAACAACAATCAGAGCCTTGCTGTGGTCTACTGGTAGCAACAGATAATTAAGTCTAAAAATTTCAGCAGAAGGAAGACATTTATTGCCAGGCAAAACCCAACTGTGTTTTAGGAAATGTCGTTTCTGCCATCTTGAAGGCAGCTCTGAGTCTAAGAACTGTAGTGATTGGTATGTGGTTATATTCTTTCAGTCTTAAAGATAATCAGGCACACTGTGTTGTTGGAAAGCAAGGGGATATAAAGAAGTGAAATCAAACTTTATAAAGACATATGAACATTTTTTTTCTCTGCAGGCATTTCTTCATCGGATCCGCCAGAACGCTGTGGACAAAGCTGAGAAGTATATAACAGAGGAGAATGTTAAGGTATTTCTTCCATCTTCCTCATCCTTTAATCCATAATGAAAGGCTAGATTAAGGGATGTGGATATCAAATATTCTTTTACCTGTCTGATCATTGTTCTTAAACTGCTGCCCAGAGGAAAAGAAACTCACACTGACACTTTTTCAGTCTGTTTGCCCATTTGTTTAGCTTTCATCTTCCAACATTTGTTTTGTCCCACCAGCTGATTTCAGTAGAATTTGCTAACAGTGTAGTCAGGAGCTAAGTTTTGGCAAGATCTGTGAAATGGTAGAGGACACAGAGACCTCATTAATATCTTGAAGGGGAAAGTCAGAGAATGCATTGCCCTTGTGTGTTTTGCTTGACAGTAATCAGTGAGCCAATTTGCATCTGTTGTCATTACAAATCTAAAACTGACAGGAGTTTATGAAGAGGTGGCAGGAATATCTAGTTGGGTTGTTGTAGGAAGGAATTTGGACTCCTGTGGGAGAGCTGAGGAAAGGGAGACTCTTGCATGATGAGATTCCTGAATGAATTTTGCAATGGAAAGACACATGAGATACAGAAAGTGGGTATGAGGTGCTAGCTCTTATAATGCCTATGGCTGTAGGATGCCTTGTGGCTTATTTTCATAAAAATAAGCAACGCTTTCATGTAGCAATTTGACTTAGAACTCTCCTTGCTATTCACATACATGTGAAACCAAAATTCTCTTTGTACACATGTATAAGTGAAACCTCGTGATCAGTGGGAGAGGATGCAGTGTCTGCCATTAGGATTGCTTTTGGGGCTTACCTTTGATCCTACAGCTCCTAAATCAGCAGAGACTTTGCTCTTTTCATTAATGACAGCACAGTGCCTATCAATAATAGGTATGTTACACAGTCCAGCACTACTGCAGCTGGTGTGTATTTCCTCAAGTCTGGTTCATCAATTTTTACATAGTAATATTACCAGAAAGTCTAAAAATCCCAACAGGGGATTCAGCTCCCGTTATGGTATCCATTCACTATGTTAACAATAGTGTACTACTGAGTGGCATCAATAGGTGGTGGTAGCAAGAAGATCTGGAGGATTGCTGGAACTAAGGCTCCTTGCTGTGTTCAAATTTGAAAGTTCCTGGTCACTGGAAGCTCACTATTTACAATCCGGAGTATGTTTAAGCATAGCTGAGGGAAAAGTGGACAATGACTAGTGGCAGTAGGTGCTGTGTGCAGAGAAACAGAAAAAAATAAGCTCTGCTTGAGAAATAAGCCTACATAACCATTTGCTAATTTGACAGACTGCAGATGTTGATAACAGTTGTTAATTCTGCCATTATTCATGTATTGCTATGACTGCCATATACTCAGATGCAGTGCTCAGAAGACCCCTGCAGAAAGTCTTTATTTTCTCCAGTGATTAAATGTATTTGTATTCTGAAGTCCATCACAACCTCTGGGGAAGTACTACTTCATTTCTGTGTCATTCTTGAGCTGCCTGGAGGTGCCTTTGAGAGGCCACTGTGAGACCTCATTAATCCTTATTACAATATTCAGCTTATAATAACACAGCTTCTCTTTGAAGAAAAAGGTGTAAGCTTACCAATGGTGAAATAGAAACACAAAGGCGTGCTTTCTCTGATCAGTGTCATCCCTTTTCCTTCTCATCAAACAATTTAATGTCTTTCCTGCAGTGGAAAGATGAATGTTCTTCCCTTCTGCAAATCTTTGCTTGTAGAGGCAGGACAGACAAGGCTGTGTTGGGACTTCCAATAACTCTGCCTGCTATTATTATAAATCTTGAGTCATTAGGGAGCTGTGAGGTGGAGAGCAACAGAAAAGGTGGCAGCAGAGAGTATATAAATGGTTTGGCAGCTTATGTAAAGAAAAACCAGTATTTTCCTCCCTGTCTTCATGCAGCAGGAACGTCTAGAGGAAAATCAAGGATATTCTGACAGTCACTCTCCTCTAAGCAAAAGGAGAAAGTACTTTTTTAGAATAACATGGGATATTACTCCTGGTATTATGTTTGTAGGCTTCTTCTGCTGCTACTAAGCAGTGGTGCTTACAGTAGCCTCTGGCTATTGCATCCCCTTCCAGGCAGGCCACCTTGAATCCTATGCCAGGCATAGATTTATAATTCCTTCACTGACAGATGGCTGCAGCAGTATCAGCTAAAACATTTTCACAATTGGTTCCCTGCCCTATGTGAGGATAACTGCTGATACGTTAGTACTGCGCCGCATCCGCAGCAGGATGGTGACGTCATTTTACTGATGCAGAACAGCTTGATGGTGCACACAAGCTGCCACACATGGATCTTCCATGTGAGGTTTATAAATGGTGACTGCATCAGATATAAAAGCAAATGTAGCTAAGGTCTTTCTGCTGCCCTTGATTTTTCAGGTGATTTTTGTTACCTGCAAAACTGCTGCAAGCAGAGCTCTGCTGACCATCACATGATTTATTAGACTACACAGATATTCCTTGAATCACAAATTATACTCCTGAAGACTCTCCTGAAGGATAAAATCATCCCTGACAGATGTTTTCCTCTTCCTTGTTAATCCCCTTTTGGCACAGCTTCTGGCATGCAGGCTGAGGCTAATGTGTCATCACGTCACTTTCAGTCATGCTATAGAATGAACCATCATAGGCTCTTCAAATTTGCAGTGGAAGTTTTCTGAAAGTAATCAGTCCCAGCTTCCTGTCTTATTTTCTGATAGGTTCAGAACCCATTAGTGCAAGTAGAGTGTGTTGGAGTCTTCAGTTTATTCAGAGCCAGGAAAAGCAATGAGGCACAAGTATGCACATGGGTAGTGAGGATTGCCATATACTGGTGTGAGAGGTGAGCAAAGACAAGAAAGGTGCCATGTGCTGTGCTTTGCATATGCAGCCAGCTTGCAGGGGTTTGAAGAAAAATCTTCTTTCCATCTTTGAATAACACGAGGTAGAGAGTTGTATCTGGGTACATGCATAGAAGGGTCTTTAATTCCTTACTCAGTCTTCCACTCCTAGAAAATCAGAGATAAATTGTTCTTAAACTGAGTTTGGTTTCATTCCTCCTTTAAGGATTAGATTTAATCTACAGAATTTTGTAATTACTGCTGCATCACCATCCACCAGGCTGAATCAGTGTCTCATCTGGTGCATAAAGTCCACTGCATAAAGTTGAAAAAGTTTGGTTTTACTGTAAGGTGCTTTGGGAAGTGTCAGAAGATCGCCCACCAAATAGCAGGAAGCTGAAGGCTGCTCTGTCAGGCTGCATTCTTTGGGATTTGTAGCAGTGACACATATGCTCTATGCCAGCCCTGGGAGGCTGCTCCTAATATGAAAGCTGGTTTGAATACACTGCAAATCTCTTTGCAACTGGCACAGCTAAAGCAAAGAGATGGACAATGCTGTTCACAGTGTGTATGTCACTGCAGTCTCCAGGCTTTGGTCTGCTTGTTCAAGCATTCCTCCCGTGGCTGTCAATACTGATGGCTGCATCACATTGCATCAGGACCTGGAAGTTTATTTTCCTTAGCACATGTATGTTAAATTCCTAGGGATCATTTAGCTGTGAGATTGTGCAATTTCCTTTTAGTACACATTAAAATTGAGGGCCTGTATCATGTTACAAATGCCTTTTACAGTCACAGAGGTTGGTGGAAGGGAACGCTAAGATTATGCTCTTTCAGTTTGGAAATACTTTACACTGTAAACACCATGGCAGAGATGTGGTTTACAGGTACATCTTCTGAGTGATAATTTCATGTTCCTGCCAAATCAGTTTGGTCTTTGTGATTTCTTTCACGTGTTCAGTCTCATAGGAGACCTTCTCTAGACTTAAAGGAGGTTGTTTACATTCATCATGCTCAGGTGCTTGGAAAGATAACCTTCATTTAGAGTAGGTACTTCAGTAAGCAATAAAGATCTCTATAGGAAAGATAGCAGTTATCATCTGCGCTTTAGGTCCTTTCATGACTAAGTCTAGAACCATAGTATTTTGGTGCTAGTACTTCAGTGTGCCTAAGAGGGTTTTGTTAATCGTTGACACTGGACTTTATGTGTTTCAGATCCTATTTTCTAACATTGAAGACATTCTTGGTGTTCACAAGGAGTTCCTGGCTGCCCTGGAATTTTGTTTACAACCAGAACCTCAGTCTCAGCATGAACTGGGAAATGTTTTCTTAAAATTTGTAAGTACAATGACTTAACACTATCTGAAAATGCAGTTTCCTGTCTTAAGCTCCCATGCCCCTTAACTATCTCTAATCTCTAAGGTTTGTAGCAATACTGTGACAATGTGTGTCTTGAATAAAACTTGAAGGTAGGGTGGGAAAAAAACTTGTGAATGAGGTTAGAACAATGGAAACCACCTCAAATTCAGCTAAACAACAAGGTATTTTTAGAAACCCTTCCTTTTCCCATTGAATATTTTTTCCTTTTTTTCTTCATTCAACTGATCACACAATTGCTGAGAATTTGTCTGCTTTCGTTCCAAATATTTCTGAAAAGCAGCACAATTTCAAATAAGTGAATAATGTTATTTGTATTTTAAAATAAAGGAAACCCACAAAAGATATTACTGCATTTACAGTAGTGTCTGTGCATACATTTATCCTTCAGTAAATGAAATGTAACGTGAGATAGCTTAACTTGCACTTCATGTAATACAGTGCAAGTTACCAAATACAACCTTTTTACCATGGAGTAAATAAATACCTGAATTATGTAGCTCAGAACTACAAAAAATTGGGGTTTTAGACTCAATGCTAGATAAGCATGCCACAAGTACAGAAGAAAAAGTAGTTGTGGTTGTTGAAAACATTTTGATGGATTCTTTTTGTGTCATCTGACTCTGAAAGTTGTATTATTTGTTCTCCTATATATTCATAATATGATGAAGTGTGCCAACATGATTCAGTACCAGGTTGGTGCTGTAAGGTGACCCAGGAAGGCACAGACCTATAACAGGGAACAAGAAATGGTGGAATGGGAAATGAGAAAATCATGGAAATCAGAGAAGCACTGCTTCTCTCATTATAATTTGTTTCTTATATTGCAAACTAATATAAGCATAGAGCACACTGATTGTATATGCAAGATCAATTATTACATATACCTAGTCATGAGATGAACTCATCTAAATGCAAAGTTATCTGATTTACATGTATATAATTCAAAGCTGCAGATTTTTTTGTATGCAGCTGCCCTCTTGGGATGTCTGAAGAAATTAGAATGCATCTATATATAATAGATATTCCTTCAAATTTTTATTAACTGCATTAAGCCACAGGCCAACTTCCTATTAAAATATGTTCTATTATACTTTTCTAATCATAATTCGTGCTTCCACAGTTCATCAGGTTTGAGTGGTCAGCAATTATGCAGCCATTCTTTGCTCATAGATCTTTACCAACTATTGATTTTATTTATGCTGTGACACTTAAAATAGTAGCATATGTAGAGACAGTAAAATGTATTGAGACAGTGCTCATAAATTGTGTTCTCTATGAGGAGTGACTGTCAGATGCTGAAGGACATAGTGATGCACTCAATTAAAGACTTGGATACTCAGTAGAATCACTGCCTACCAAGATGTCCTATGCTAACACAGTACTTGTTAGCAATGGTATCAACATGGGATGTCTCCTGAGCAATGCTGTCTAAATGGCTACTGTGTTTCAGAGTGACACCAACTAACCGGAAGTATTAATGCCCTGTCATTTAGCTGAACTCAACCTGCTATATGTAGTCATTGACAATGTTTTCTTGTATGTGAGCACAGCATTTATAACTGACAAATTTAGTAATTAAGTGAATGAATGTTCTCTGCTTCTCAGACTTGCAACGAAGCAGAAATTATGAAACTATAATGCACAGAGATGACTGCTGGTGAGAACTGATCTTCTGATAGAGACTGTTTGACTGAGATCAGTTTACACTGCAGTCTGTGAAGTGCATTGCAAATATGATGTACATAATCCCATAAGGAAGAAAACCTACAGCTTATTCAGGAGGATGTCAGACAACTTTCATTTCGTAATACATGGAAGAAGCTGGTCTCATCCATAATGAGTGAAGTAACCATAAAGTATAAGGATAGCGTTGGAAGCACTGTGGCACTTCATGTCTTGAGCAGGGAAGAATCAGCAGTAGGTTATGAAGAGAGGAAGGAATGACATGTCCTGGTGTACAGATTATGCCTGCCTTTCAGAAGACTAGCCTCACTGTAGGTATTTGGGAGTGAGGGATGTGGGATTTGTCGTGTCACGGTACAGCCTTTCATAGTGAGATTCCAGCTGGAAATGCCAGCAGCAAATGTGGTTCAGAGCAAACTTCCAGATTCAGTTTTTGAATCCTGTCTGTGAGATCTATGCATCCTAAATTTCTTCTAACTTCTTCAACACTTTTAGTTGGAGTAGCCCTACAGGATCACAGTTGATCCATTTACATTTATGCTAGGACATCTTTTCCCCTGGGTGTTCAACGTGGCAGGATCCAGATCTTGGCTAACGCTTGAAATAAACAAGCCAACATTGCAAGGGCTCCAAAAGAGCAACACATCGACTTCTGGAACTCTTTTAGCGGATGATGAAATGTGCTTGCTCTGATATACAGCTGTGAAAGATTGTTTTGTTCTGGAAGACAGACATTGTTTGTCCTAGCATACTCCACTTGATCAGGTGATTGTAAGAAGTTAATTCTGATGTATTGGAATTTCTTAAGGAGTTGTAGTTCAATAACAGACAGTATGTGGACCATCACAGACAGGAAAGAACACACTTCAATTGAAAATAAAATCTGCTGCTTGAAAAATGGAATGTGTAGAACATATCTTCAATGTCAAAGACATACTAAACCTTGGATAATTACACCTCATCAACATAGGCTTTCTTGTGCAGGTCATGAAAACAAAAGACTGTCTGCAGAGCAGAAGGGCAGAGGGCTGACTGATACCTGATTTCTGTTGTTGCTGTATTGGTAGAGCATTGGCAACTTAGTAGCCATAAGCTTATTAGAGTGAAATGCGTTTTCATCTTATTTTTGGGAACAATGCTGCCTGAATGCTTTTACTATTTAAGTCATCAGGAATCTTGTTTCGTTCAGAATGAAATCTTATTTTTTATTTAGGTTTTTCATATTGACGAAATAGTTTTTAGCCTGCTTTCAAAGAAGAAAATGTCATGGCTCATTAAGAATACATCCAGATAGAACGTCTGCAGTTTACCCAGCGTGTCTTTCGTGAAACTTCTGTCCAAAAACTGTTTTCAAATTTACACTAATTTGTGGGTTGTACTACTAGATCCAAAATAACATATGGAGAATAAACTATTGGTTTAGACTTCTTAAATTAACTAAGAACAGTATGGACTTATTTTTGCCACCAATTCAGAAGGTCTATCTGTGTATCCAGCAGATTTGCTGAGTAAGAATGTGCCATATTTATGGGGTCATTTTTCTGACCATAATTACACTTTCATACAGTGTAACTGCAGGTTCCAAATTCCTGGGCTATCATCTGTAATTATGTAACTGATAATTTCCTCACCAGGAGATGGGGAGTCCAGGACTGATTGTCACCCAGAGAGGAAATTAAACACTTCAGACACTGAGTAATTTAAAACATAGTTGTCATATTTGTGGGTCTCATGCATGAGGGGCAGCTGGAAAAGACTTGATGAAAGCACTCTGGTGTGTGCATAATTATTGTACTGTCTTGAGTTTAGAAAGGAATTCTGTCATGATCTAAATATATCCTCCCCAAACTTCTGGCACTCAGAGCTGCAGTCAGAAACCTGAGCAATGACATTTTGTGTGCACTGATGCAGCGGATGCTCTTGTCTTAATGGTTACTATTTTTAGTCTCAAGCAGGCTGCTTGTGTGCATCTAGGAAGATGAGGGGAGGTGAGAGGAGGAAGTGTAGGAGAAACTTATAAATCTGTCTTGTCACTCTGCAGCTCTACAATTTAGGGATAAAAAAAAGTAATCCCATGTCTCTCAATTGTTTCTTTTCTATTGTGCTGTTGACTCAGCCATGCCGTTCCTGTATCTGGTGGTCAGGATCTTTTGTTTCTTTCCAGCTTCCAGTACTAAACTCCATTACTAATATGAGCAGCTGTAGATGAAGGATGTCTTGAACATCTGCATTCCAGCTCTTTGTGTCCGTTTGATGGTTGTTTTATTCACTTTGTACCATTGTTGCTGTGTTTGGCCATGCATCTTTTTATTCTTAATTCTTCTTTTGGATGTATAGGGAGAGAAAACTTTTTCAATAAATTACTAGTAAAAATAAATAAAAATTAATAAAATAAAATTTAAAAAAGAAGCAATTTTCAGTCTCTGAGCATGTACATCTAGCCCTGGAGCATCTAACGAAAGCATCAGATTCTTCTCATAAACTGGTGGTGGCTGTGACATGGCTCACTGTAAGTACCTCCATCTTGTTAGGAAGCTACCTTTCTCCTCCTTGCATTTCTTTATTATATTGGTCATTTTGTGTTTATTCATCAAAATGCTTCCATTCAGGAGACATGTTGTGGGCAGCCCTGTAAGACTGGGGATTTCCAGCTGGTTGCTTCTTCCAGTGCTTGTTTTTTTCCAGCCACCTTTGTTTGTTTCTTCTTCCTGTGGTAGTAATCAGCATAGTTCAGATATGTCAGTTCCATTTATGTTTCCCTTGCTTCTGGCTTTACTTTGCTTCTGTCTGCTTGTATGGAATATCCTGGCACATGAAAGTCCCTGAGATAGCAAAATCCATTCTTTCAGCAAAGGATGTATTATTTCAGTGATGCATTGAAAGGAAAAGTACAGAGGAGGTCTGTGGTCAGAAAACTGATGCTAATTCACAAAAATAACTTAGGAATTAGGGGAACACTTCTATAAATTATTTGCATGTGGAGATATTGTACATATCATGTGAAATGCAACTCTAGCACTCTAAAGCAGAGTGCACATTCCTCTGTGTAAAGAATTTAGGATCAGACTGTGGCAATACAGACAGTCTAGTTTTCTCCAAGTCAATAGGTTAATGCTTTTTCTTGCAGAAAGACAAGTTCTTTGTGTATGAGGAGTACTGTAGCAACCATGAGAAAGCGCTCAGACTGCTGATGGAATTGAACAAGATCCCAACAGTGAGAGCATTCCTCCTGGTAAGCACCTTCTCTAGCACTCTCCACTTAATGGTATGACTTTGTACTGTACTCATAATGCTTCTTTAGTATCTGAAGAATGCCAAACATTTTGCAGACATGATTCATTCCAGCTACGAAGCACTTGAGAAGGATGGATATTGAAATAATTGGTGAATTCAAGTACCAACTAAGCACAGCTATGGTATGAGTAATTTCAGTGGATACAGAGAAGTATTTTAAAAAACATTAAGAATGAAAAACAACATCAGCAAAAATAAAAGAAAAATTGAGCAAAGATTGTGAAAGGAGTAATGCAATAATTTATCAGCAGGGCTGAGACTGGTTCCCTGCTCAATTCTCTGATCAATTCACCATCTGCAGACCCACCAGAAACATGTGGCCTCCTTCTGACATCCTTTTCCCCATGAGGCCACTTGTGGGCAAGAAACATAGGCTGGATGAACTATTTTGGTGGCATAATTGTTTCTTGTATTAAAAACGGCCCAACTCCTCATCCAACCCATGAAATATTAGCATGTGCTGGGAGGAAGTGTGGCATACAGCCTTCTTAAGAGCTAGACTGCAAAGAGAAACAACCAGTAGGTAGCTTTTTTGTTTTTTTTTTTTAATCCAGGTTAGAGGGGTAGGTGTTTCTCCTTACAGCCTCCCCTCAATTCTCCTTGATTTTAGGTGTTATTTTCCTTGCTATGAATGGAAGGCATTTGGGCTGGGGATGGACAATAGGTGAGGGACCAGTCAGCACCCTAGTTCTGTGTCTTAGTAAATGCTGTGAAGTGAAAGAAAGGCTGTTGTTTTGCAATGGACTGATTCTGTTCTGTATTCTGCTCTGCTTTTTTCCATTCTGCCAAAGGCATGCTCTTTCCTAATACAGTACAGTAGAAGAAAACTTCTGCATAAATGCCTGTCACAAGCAGGGCCAGAGCATTCTTCTAGCCACAAAATATAGACCTTGGAGGGGGGAGCAGGAACACACACGCTGCTGGGTACTCAGAATTTCTTTATCACATCTGAGTTTCAATAAACCCTGTTAAAGCATTAGTTCAAGTCACCAAATGAGCAATTCCTGCTCATGATCTACTCTGGGTATTTCTGTTGAGAGAAACTTAAAGAGAAAGACAAGCAATGAAAGTGGATATAAATACCATCCTTCCCAACATCCAGAGTGTTCTCTGCATTTCAGCTGGATTGGCAACAAGCTCCTGTCTGTGTTGCCGGCAGCAGCTGGCAAACTAATTATGAGGCACATGAAAGATGTCGCACTGTCTGCTGTGGCTTTGCAGCAGCACCTGAATCCAAAGGATTTTTAAAATAACAGTAACTATGGAAGGAGAGGCTATGCTCAAATCTTTGCTTTGTTGTGGCTGTTGTAATTTCTTCCAGGCCTTCACTCTTCTCTCCACTGCCTCCTAAAGCCAACGCTATAATGCCACCATGCAGAGAGCTGCATTAAAATACAAAGCTTTGCTTGTGAGGATGGATTTGGCCCGATTGCCCCCTTGCAGCTGCTGAAATACAGAATGTGGGAATGTGTTTGAAAAATCAGTAAGTGTTAAAGGGCATTTTTGAGTCCAGAGCTAGAGGGAGGGCTGAAAGGAGAGACGGGAAGGACTGAATCACCCGAGACTTGGAAAATTGGACAGGGAGCATTGTGAGCTGGTAGCCAATGCCACAGATCTAGAATAGCCCTGGGGAAGAGTTATTTTACAGACAACTGTCTGTAAAAATACCACTTAGAAATAATGAGAGTTATGTCAGATGTCTATGAACAGTTCTTGAAGAAGAGAATTATTGAACTACAGCCACAAACCCACTGTATTTCAGAGTGTATCTGAGCCACTGCACACACTTCAAAGGGGAAAGTGTTATCAGTGATGCCCCCAACAAAAGCACATCTTGGCTGAAATGGATTTAAACTTCATCCTCTGCTAACACGGCAGATTTGCCCTGGGTGGTTATTGGAGTAAAGTTATCCAGATTAATGGCTGAACATAGGAAAGTAGCTTATCTCAAATAGATTTGAAGTTGATCTGAGTCCAGTGCCTACCTTTAGCAGTGGACAATGCCAGCATCTTTAGGGAAATATATAAAAACCTTAGAGTTCATCAGTGATTATTTATCACACATATTATGGATTACTGTGAAGAAATAAGGGGATGAGTAAAGGGCTGTTGTTTTTCTTCTATACCGTACTCAATTCTTACATTTTCCTTTCATATCAGTCCTGAGAGATGAATTTTCATTTGATTAAGAAAATAAGCATCTCTTGTTTTGAGGTGGTGTGCACAAACTTATCTGTGAAATGATTCTTACAGAATGCCCTTCCAAATCTTTCAGAATTCATTGTGTGAGTATTGCAAGAGTTCATCAGTTGCTTCACCTGTTTTTCAACCTAAAATCTGTTCGGACTTCTGTTTTGTTTGGTGTATTGGTCCAGTATTATCAAGGGTTTATACTGTTATCTTCCTTAATATGTTAAAGCAACGCTGGAAGAGCAGTCATTGTCCTGGGTGGAGAAATGCCCTTCAACTTCTTTGTGATGTCTTCTGATTTCCAGACAAAGAGCTAAGGTTGAAACATAGCAGATTTATTATTATTATTATTATTATTATTATTATTATTATTATTATTATTACTATGAGCACCAGAATTACAGAAATCTGTTTTCCATGTGTCATTGCTTCTTGCATCAGTGTTCTCCTTCCTACACAGCAGCCTTGCCTGCATAACCCCAAACTTCTTCTGCAGTATTATGTACTACAACTGCTTCAAGGCTACATTTGTGCTGTTTAGCCTGCCAGTGCACCCCTACTGTTTGCCCAGCTGGGTTTAGACATAATGTTTTGCCAGAGAATTGGTGGATGAGATGCTGATGACTCATTTGTTTCAGAGCTGCATTTGATTTCCTTCAGACATAGAGACTGTACTAGAGTTAATTATGTGATTCTTTATTTATATGCTTTATTTTATCCTTTGAGTGTTCTGGAAGATGTGTGCAAACTTTGCATAGTGAATGGAGACAAACAACTGTTTTGATTGTGGGGTAGGTTGGATTCTTTAAGGTAATGATGCATTCTAGATTTGCTGACTGTCATTGTATTGTTATATTTTTTTGAGCCATAAGCTGTATAACATCTCAGTGGGAAGAGACCTTTCTTTGCAGCCACTGGTATCCACAGCAGGTTTTTTGTTTTTTTCTGCTGACTCGTGGAGAATTTTGCAGCTTAGCTTGATGGCTGCATTTCAGTGGAGAGTGACGTCCCGTTTCTTTTATCTTAGGAATGGTGAAGTTCATCGTGACCATAATGTGTATTATAGAAACAGCAAATAATGTCAAAGAGCATGTGAAAGTGTTGCCTGAGTTAACATTAACTTCCTTTTTTGATTATAGAGTTGCATGCTTTTGGGAGGCAGAAAGACTACAGACATTCCACTGGAAGGTTATCTACTGACTCCAATTCAGAGAATTTGCAAATATCCACTTCTGCTTAAGGTAAACCAAGAAAGAATGTCTTTGGCTAGTTGTTTTTCTCTTGGAGTGATTTTTGCAACTTTTTAACCCTTGATTTCCTGTCACTGCTACCGTCCTGACTTGTGCTTTTAAAGGTTCAATCCTGTTTACAGAAAATGGCTTTTTCTTATGGATACAGTCAAAAACTGGCTGATGACACTGTTAAATCTTGTAATGGCGTGGGTAGACCAGATAGGTTAAGGTACTCATCAGCTGACTTCAGATTTCTTCTGATATTTATGAAGACCTGAGTGCTATTTTAGCCCCTTCCTGAAAAGCTGTGGTTAAATGGAATTTTATTAGTATTCTAAGGAACTCCATGGCTCTTAGGGATTGGAAACCGGACACATCTTTCATCACTAGGTCTCTAGTTTGAGTGTACTCAGGTCAGTAATTATCAAAATTCTTCATCATCTGACAGCTGTTTTGTGGCTTGTTTGAAAACCATTTGGTGTCTCAGATAAGCTTCTACTGGACAGGTGTTATTGCAGAAATGACTCCTGCAATTTGCACTAATTGGCCCCCTTGCTAGCTGGTGTACTGTAGGAGTTAAAGAACCAAAGACATAAAAAGAGCCAACTTACCTCATTCCTTCAGGTCAGGGCTGGATCATGCACCTAGTGGGGAGAAGTAAAAGGAGAAATCAGTTTCTAGGAAAGCCTGCATCACCAGTGATCTAGTAGCTACTTAATGGCTAAAAGCCAGAAATCTTCAGTGATGTTCAGTCTCATATTCTCAGAGTAATGTTATATTTAATAAAATACAAGTAATTCTTAATAAATATAAGAAGCAGCAATTTCTCATCTCAACAGAATGGTTCCTTCCTTAATCACAGAGGAAAATAATGATTCTGTAATGATCCGGTTCTCTTGGGCATAGGCTGGACCTATGAATCAAGTGTATGTCATGTAAAATTACTGCAGTACTGTGTCTGTAAGTTCAGACTGAATAAGGACTTTCAAAGGTCCAGGCTGGTTAGCTCAATACTGATGTTTTTCCTTTAATAGAAGTCCAAATTCATCTGAGGAATATTTAAATCATTTCTTTCCATCACCTTGGAGCTTTCACAGAAAAAAATTGGAGTCCTTCCTACAGGTGGAATCATTTTGTGTGTGCAGCAGACACTCATCTTAAAATCTTACAGTACACGTTCATGCGCCGTGTCTTGTGGATGTAACTACTGAGATATCCTACTGAGAGATGGATGTAAACTACATGCACACAGTTTAGCAGTTCAGTCCATCCAATGGAATGCAGACTCCTCTTATGATTTAAAAACACCAAGAAAAAACAAAGAACAGAAGAATGTGCTTTGTTTCACCATACATTCATGGTTAGCAAGTTGTGTCCTGTTGAAAGTTTGCCTGGTAGTTGCTAGTACAAAATCGCCAGAGCGGGCGCAAATGTTTCAGATGTGGAAGAAAAAAAAGGCTGAGTGAAGAGAAAACTGATTTCTGGTAGTGCTGGTGAGGAAAATGCAGCTCTCCAAGAAAAAAGTAAAATAGATTTAAAAAACAACACAACCTTCAAATTAAGTGTTTGCTCTCCCTTTGCTCCTGAACTGCAGTTATTGCTACAGAAATAGCTGTTCTGTATTCGTGGGAATTTTATCTTATTTTATCTAATTCCCAGAGCAAACACATGCACTGTATTCCACCTGATTAGAAAAATCATCAACACCCACTTTCCTATTTTACTTTCTTTTTAATAGGAGTTTGTGAACATCCAGATCTTCTGATGACTTTGATATGACCTTGTTATAGTTTAATTAGTATAGCTAAGCAGTTAGATTTGATAAAGATAATACGAGCGCTGTAGCTCAAACTCGCCAGTGTTTGAAAGCCAGCCTGAATAATAAAGCACATTTAAATAGGATAACTACTTTTCATTAATACTATATGTAAGCATTGTTCTTCCAGAATAATAGCTTCTCACACAGAGTCCATTTCAGTTAATTAGGAATAGCATACTGGAATATTTTCGTGTACAGGTACACTTTAAGCAAATATTATCAGTTATTTCCAGTGTAAAGTATGGCATCCTGTAACTGGGAAACTTACATATTATTATACTCTGATGAAGCTTTTGCAAGCCTTATGTGTGGTTTGAAACATGGGACTCAGACCTTGCCATGCTGTTTCACCATCTCTGTGCTAATAGAGCAGCAGTGATGTTAACATTTTTGTCCCCAGCACAGTTTTTATGTGCTTCACAAAGCACAGGAGAGAATTAGCACAAACTCATTGGTCAGTAAATTACTTTGATCCCCAGTCTAAACCCTCCCTAACAGTAACTAACCTTCCACCTCTTTTCTTTGCTGTCACAGTTCAGCAGGGGATTTAAAGTCCATTTGGGTACATAGGTATTCTGAATACTTGTCTGTTACTGAAGAGCTTTGCCAGAAATTTTCCTTAAAAGTGAGAAAGAGGCTTTGAGCAGGCTTAAACAAAGTAGAACTATGCTTGCTGTGATGGACATTATGGTTTGGTAAGAAGAAAAGAAGCAAAGGCAAACAGGTGTACAGAACTTGAGAGCATAGACTGAGTGACTTACAACCCCAGCATGGATGTGGACGCTGGAAAGTTTGCTGAATAAATATTTCTATCAGAATGTTTTGGATTAAGGCAACTCTGTCTCACTGATAATAATTGTGACTCTATATTAATTAGCATTAACTATGCTTCTTAGTTGTAGAAGCAGCTGTTGTGTAAACCAATCTCTGAACAAAAATAGCCTTTTTCCCCTTAATAAAGAGCATTTATGTCAGCAAGAGGAAAACCCTAAGGGAGCAGCGATCATGAGTTAATCACACCATTGGGGGTGGGGATTGGATGCAGTCATTTCTGTCTCCTTCTTCTTCCCAACACGCAAAAAATGCACAGCACATGATAACTGCCCCCCATGGGCTCTGATAGCCCAGTGCTGTCACAGGGGCTGTTTCTTATTTGATGTCTGTTCTCTTAAGGAGCTGCTAGATCTCCAGCCAGAAATGCACATTCTACCTCTGATCCTTTAAAAATATAACGACTCCTTGGAAGATTTAGGGCAGTAATTATGTATTGCTTCATGTGATGGAAGACTCACTAGCCCTAGGAGAGAAAGAAAATCTGGAGGCAGAAAGCTGAGCATCCAGCCCAGAGCCTTCTCAAAAGGGAGAGCCCAACAGTGAGGCATACACAGACTGCAACAAGTGTGGTGCCTGGGATGTGAAAGGGAAAAACAGGAAGCCGGTGGTGGATGAAGGACCTTGCTATCCCCCCTCTCCATCTTCTCCATTCCTCTCAGCAACATTTAAGGAAGAAAATCTAGTTAGCCATAATTTGAATATGTTTAAACTCTCAGGTTTTGCACCCCCTGTTCAGAAGAGTGATGTTCACTGAGATTCATTATACTGCTTGGTTGAAATCCAAGTCCATGTAGCATAACATTACAACATTAAAAGTTATATATACCCTACAGAGCTGTAAGGAACACTGCCAATTTATAAATCATATTTCTGTCTTCGACACTTCTTATATATCATCTCAAATAACTGCTAATATATATAAAACATGGTTTTGTTGTGCTTTAATTTGGCATATATTGCAGATTTGATGGTACATCTAATGTCATCAGTTTTACTGATTTACCATTGCCTGATTTTTTACCTTGCAGAAACAGCTACAGAAGTTATACATTTTAAATGTATGCAGGATAAAAAAAAAAATACTGTGATTGGCAGATGCAGAGCCTGGTGTAGCATCTATTTTCTGGTTAGTTTAAGTGGAAAATAGATTTTTAAATACATGCAAATGTTAAAAACTGAAAATACAAATACAAAAATCCTTGAAACACAAAGGAACGTGTCTTTTTCTGAGCATTTTTTCCTTTTTTTTTAAGCACAGTTTGGAATTGAACCATTTATTACCACGTCTCTTTGAATTGATAAAAAATATGGTGTCTTTTTTATCTCTGTAATCCTGAGATGTTCACTAAAATAACTAACGGATGCATCCCAGAAACCGTGTTTTATGCATGCGCTGCTTGTAGTGCAAAGCAACACAGCCTGGCAAGCAGTGATTTGCTCGACATTAACAGTCACTGCACAGAATTAGTGTTAAAGCCATGTGTGGGTGACAACAGTATGAATATAGGAAGAAGGAATTTTTAAAATGCAGGGACTTAGATATTTAAACTGCAAAACATGTTCAGTTGAGTTGTAAGCACATAATCACTTTCTGGGTAGCAACACAGGATATGGGAAAGGATGACAGACTCCTTTTCTTTAAAAAGATCAGTTAAGCAGAATGACATCCTTTCTGCTAGGAAATATTAAAATTGTGTTTACATTTGGAAAACCTCTAGTTTCCTCTGCCTGCATGCATTGTTTGCTCATCACCCCTCCTGCAACCTCTTTGCATCTTCCTCTGCAACGTTCTTGTTGCTGAGTTCTCTCCTCATAGTTTTGTTGTTGTTGTTGTTGTTCTGTTTGGTTTTCTGTGTGTGCCAAGCACAATTAGTAGGTAACAAATGCATGAACAGCTGATGTGTTGTCTTTTTGTGATTACTTCTTACATTTAAATTCTATTCTATTTGGAAGTATTTTAGCCATATGCTATTTAAAGCTGTGTCTGATACTGAAATACTTTAGTTGGAAATCCTTTTACTACATTGCATAATTGAAGATTGGCATTTCTATGAAGAGTTCTCTTTTTTGGGGGAGGGAGGATACAGTTAATAGGAAGTAAGATAGCATTCAAATCTCTAGCACTGCCTTTCCTGTATAGTTACTTCCCGATTGCTAGACAATTCAGATGGAATCAAGAAGCCAAATAATCTTTTAGAATCCAAATGCAAGAGCTTTGCCAGTGTTAATTCATACTTTCTATCAAGAATTAGTTGAAAATTGTAGCTTCCAAATAGACTTTTTTGATTCTGTTTCAAAGTCCAATTTGTTGCAAGTGCTTTAACCATACTGCCCTATCCACTGAAGGCAGAATGCCCACTGGGAAGAGCAGATTTGAGGCCATCTAAGGAACATGAAGGTGCATAAGTCAACGGGACCTGATGAGATGCATCCGAGGGTCCTGAGGGAACTGATAGGTGAAGTTGCTGAGCCAATATCTATTTATACTTGAGAATTTGTGGCAGTTTGGTGAAGTTCCTACTGAATGGAAAAGGGAAATGTAACCCCATTTTTTAAAAGGAAGAAAGGAAGACCAGAGGGAACTGCAGGCCGGTCATTCTCACGTCTGTGCCTGGTGAGATCCTGGACTAGAACCTCCCTGGGAGCTATGCTAAGGCACATAGAAAACAGCAAGGTGACTGAGGACAGCCAATATGGCTTCATTAAGGGCAAATCATGCCTTACAAATTTGGTGGCCTTTTACAATTACAGTGTTGGTTGAAAAAGTAAGAACAACTGACTTCATCTATCTGGACTTGTGCAAAGCATTTAATGCTGTCCCACATGGTTCCTTGTTATCACTCCCTCTGTAAAATCATTGGGGTTCTGCATGAAGGGGCTATGAGTGTCCTAACCTGAAACTTGGCAGCTATGAAGCAGTGAAAAAAAAGGGAAATGCTGTGTCAGGAGCAGGCAGTTTTTATTTCTATCTTAGTTCATTAAAGATTTTTTTTTTAATACAGAATATTTTTGCAACTTTTCTTTTTTTTCTCTTTCTCTGAGGGAAAGTGAGAAGTTGGAAGATAATGCCTAAGATGAGAGACTGAAAAATACCAGCTTTTCTGTTTTCAACTGCTGGTTAGTGTGAAGGATTAACAAGTCTGTAGCTGGAAAGTCGCTATTTTATGAATTAGTTAAAGACACTCTTTGCAAGGAATAGTTTTCTGTAAGTGCCAGCAACCTCATGTTCTAGGCCTTGTAGTGCATAAGTTGCAATATATGAGACAGTCGTTCCAGACAGCATTATATATGAGCTATCTGGAGGACAGGTCAGTCATACCCAAGGTTTGCCATCTGGTCTCTCTCTCAGCTGCCTTTCTAAGTGTTGGCAAATGCTCTTGTAGTTTACACATCATAAATCTGCCACTCTAATAAATAAATACCCAGAGCTCCCTGGCTGTATTTCAGAAGTGCTGGGCAGTGTTCTTATAGGGGATGCGAGTGTCAGAGCAGCAGGGCTCTTCCTCTGGTGCTTAATACTAAGCAGGGATGGGGGCAAGCAAGTCACTGCCCCAGTGACTCTCTGACTGTCAACTACTGCAGTTGTGAAAACTAAGTACCCTAGCTAGTGCCCTCCCTGCCTTATCCAGCCCCCTCTCCTACTCTTGTTCAGCACAGCAGGTAGCTAGCAGGAGTGGGGAATGTGTTGCTTTCTGTCCTCCCTTCTTCAAAATCTCCTTTGGATACATAAAGAATCTTCTGAAGTCAGAAGATGGAGGGTAGGGGGTGGATTGGGAATGGAAAAGAAAAGGATTGAATCTCAAAGAACTTCCTTCTCCTCACATTCGCAGCCACTGGAGGAAAAAAAAAAAAAAGCTTGGGGTTCAGAAAGTAGGCACTTGTTCCTTCCTGTGTCTTCCCTCCCTGCTTTTAGGCACCGGGTGGAACAGGAGTAGCTGAGAGATGTCCTGCAGATTTGGAAGATAATGTAGCTGCAGGTGTGTGGGGCATTAAAGTTGCAGACTCCTGTACTGTTCAAGACAGCAAAATAGTGTGCCACAGACTGCCTTCCTTTGCCTACAAGCAAACCTTAAGTTCATATTACACAGGTGTAGATGCAATTTTTGTTGTAGCAGAAGATGGTTTCTTGTCTCTTTATTGCAGCTGTGGTCTTCTGTGAATGAAGAACTCTTCCTCTGTGTCTTGGTGATACTTCAAAAAAGTATGTTTAGACAGTGCTAATATTTACATATGTTTCTAAAGGAGAGTGGTTAACACTTGTCATGTAGCAAAAATTCTGCACTTTGTTTTGGAAGCAGAAGCTACTGTCACCAAGTGGAACAACATCTCTCACCTACTTCTTTGCCATTGTTATTTTTTAAACATTTAATTTGCCTCAACTTACTCTGAACAAAAGTGGGATATGGGTAACTTCCACTTCCATGGGGAATTATGTTAGTGATAATGACTGGCAGTTGTAGCAGGCAGCTCTCTTGTGCATGTGTTACTCTGTAAATCATGCGAGAGCATTAATTCCTTTTCCTGATGGGATTCCCAGTTGTCAGCACATAGCCCATCTCCTCCATCATTTCTCTGACAACAGGCACTGTCAATCACCATTCATAATTATGAGGTAGGAGAAATTGCAGCTGTGAATATGTTATCAAATGCCTAATCAATGCAAAGAATTGAATAGCCCAATCTTATTGGACAAACATATATATATATACTCTCCAATTCATTTGGACCTTTCCATCTCCAGGATCTGACTGTGTGCTCATGAGAATACTTCCCATTGCTATATTTGCCTCTTCTGTTATCTAGAAGAGTCTCAGTAATCACATAAATTAGTCTCAAGATTCAGATGCTAGTTTAAAAGGTCCTGCAAAATTGAGAATAAAGATCATATTTTGCAGTCCTGTAACACTGGGTGTCAAGGTAATTCATGAGCACTAGCAAACCAAGTCTTGTTCCAGTCAGTCTGAGGAAGTACCGAGACTGTCTGTGAAAGAGGCTGGAACAACCTGTACTTTAGCACTAGCTTCCTCCTTTAAAATATGCCCTCCACTTTTGCTGTTGTTTGAGCACCTCACACTCTTACTACTTATTCTGTAGATATACCTGCTAGTTATCAGAGGTAGCACATGACAAACTAGTCACGCACCTAAAGTGACTTCTGTCTGAAGAACTTCATAGAGCTTATGTATGAACCAACCATAGAATAGAGAAAGCTTCTTGATTTATGGAGTGTTTGGGTTAGCAGGCTTCAGGAGAAGCTGAGTTTCAACCCCCATCCCTTCACTGGCAGGCCCTGGAACTAGACCCTAGAAGTACCAGTTAACTTGAGCTAGAGGTTGTGTGAACAGAAACCAGTTTATGAACAATGCTTGCATTTCATGCTGTGCTACCAACCCAAGGGAAGCAAGCCCCTGTAGTACTGAGGATCACCTGAAATCTGAGTATGTCAGTGTCGAGAAAGACAGAAGGCACAAAGATCTTTAATGTCAGCACGGCAGAAATTAGCCTGGAGAAGAGTCAGTGGCTTAGGTTAGCATGTTGATGTGGAGAAGCCAAAGACAAACAGGACTACAAAATAGACCTCATTGAAGGCTACGACAAGCACTTGGGGATTGTAATCTCTCATCCTGAATGATCACCAGCTGGAGCAATCCGGTTGTCTTTGCCCATACTGGTGAGAGCTATGGACTGCAGCAGTTTAGCTCTGTCCAGATCACACTGCTGTGCAGGATCTCTGGCTACATTTCAAACGTTCTCCTCTCTCATGCAAAATGATGCAGTTCAGCAGCAGTTTACCATTTACTCACACGACTTTAAAACAACCAAATACTATGTTGAAGCAAAACATTACGGGAGAAATATTTCAGGCAATCTGAAAATGTGGGTCTTAAGCACCATATTATGTATCAAGAGGAAATTACCAGGCTTAGCTAAGGTTTCTTTAATGTATTTCTATCCCTTTGTGGCTGACTATAAAATAGCATTGGTCTAAAAAAATGATTAATTATGTGTTGACATTGGTTGCCCCTTTGCCAATCTGGTAGATGTTGGTAGGTCTCAAGTTTTCCCATTGTTGTTCTTCAGTGGTCAGTGTTTATGGGATGTTGTGCATTGAAACAAGTGAAGCAGACTCTTAGGAAATGCTTTGCAGACAAGTTGTTTTCTACATTACTCACTCCAGTCAAGGCACATGTCACTGTGATATGTTTGCCTTTTGGGGAGCCCTCACCACTTGCCATGTGCCTGTCTTGATCATACCAGAAACGAATGTGACACAGCAAAACATATTTGGCTTGAGTTCTTTTAGTCTGATGTAATTTTAATTTAATGTAATTAACATGGTGATTCTTCATTTATTTAGCAGCATTCATATATAGTAGCAGCCTTGCAGGTGTGAGGAGCAGAGAACGCTGTCCACAAAACCCATTAAATCTGAAATTCTTCTGGCATTTTCCTACAGGATTGTACTTTAATGCTGTGTTTGGCCTTTCCACAAGCTACATCTAATCTTTTTGTTGTTGTTGTTTGCAAGGAATTGGCTAAGAGGACTCCCTCTAAGCATCCTGATCACCCAGCTGTCCAGAATGCACTGCAGGCTATGAAAACAGTCTGCACAAATATCAACGAGACCAAGAGACAGATGGAGAAACTGGAAGCTCTCGAACAGTTGCAGTCCCACATTGAAGGATGGGAGGTATGATGCAGGACTAGCAAGCTCCCTGGAGACAATTCATTGCACAATGCAGTGGGCTGAAGTTTGGTGACGCATACTGTGTACAGGGATTTCTGATGTGTAAATGTGCTTGAAGGTGTGGGTGGTATCACTCTGACAGGTTTAGAATTCAGTGTTTATTTTTGAGTGTGTGGGCTGCTGCTAAATTGTAGCAGAAGATGGGAATCTTAAAAGAGGTAAAGTTGTTAGAGTTGGGGAGGACTGAAATTTCAGATGGGCAGGTTTTGTTTGAAGGACAAATCCGGAAGTAAAATCAGGAGTGATCTAAATAGCACAAACTTCTCTCTCTATTCCTACAAGCCTTTAGTTTTTGAGTGAGCTTTGAAAGTTGGCATCATGCAGATTTCCTGTATAAAAAATAAAGTTAGATTAGAAAGTAACTATTATGTTTGTGATTTCTCCAGTTAAGTTTCTCATGGATGTGTTTCTACTGAAGTGTTTCTCAATGAGTGGATCTGTATGGGTAGAGGCACTTAAGTATGAAAGAGAGAAAAGTGAGAGGGAGAGAACTGAGATGTGAAGCCTGGGGAAAGAGGAAATATGGAAAAAGAGCCACCCAGGAGAAATACTGCTAAGTTGGGACGGTGCACAAAAGAATTGGCAGCTTGTCTTGTGATGATTTTAATTGAGGCCCTTGAAATGGTGGAGTTGGAAGCCTCTGGGGGATGCACCACAGGGAGTCAATGGTGTTAAATGGTCTCACAGGGAGACTGGCGTCAGCTTTTAGTAAGACTGACATTTAAAATGTCGAGACTGATCATTGCCAGCTGAGGACATCTTTTTAGAGGTCATGTAAACTTCCTCATGTTTGGACTCTTGGGTGCTCTCCACGACTCTTTTTTGGGTTGTTTTTTCTGTCTTTCGTGTATGTTTTAAACCTTGCTCATTTTCTCCCCAAAGGATGTTCTTGGCATCTAGCTAAAGACATGAGAGCAACCCAGATATCCAGCTGTGTATTTTTTGGATAGCAAGCTCAGCAAACAAAAAAGTCATACAATGTTCTATACAGGAGGACTTTTAGAAGCAGTCAGAACCATTTCAAATTCAATGCAACTCATGGGTCGTCTAGGCAAGAGGCATGTTTGAACTCCAGGGCTTGAAGCACGACTCCTAAATTGTGCATGATGTAATAAATGAAGTAGTATCAAAGTTAATGCAATTTGGGGACAGTGGATGAAGGGAGGCTTACAAATTCACAGCAACAGTCTGGGTCTGAAAACACTTTCTGATTTGTTTATATGTGCTGTTTTGAAAGATAGTCACCTATATTACTCAACCCAAAAGCTCAAAAAGGGACAAGTGTTTTTCATTCCCGGTAAACTGTGGAAATTTTCTGAGTTTCATAGTAGCTTGTTAAAAGGAGGAAAACCAGATTTACAAATGCAGACTAATGCTAAACGTATCATTTTTTTTTTCTATGTGCACATTAAACAAATTGAAATGGATTGACAGTTTTCTATTTTTGGGTTTCCACAGTACTATGTTCTTGTAAATTATGACTCTTGAGCAAAGAGTTGTTTCTAAATAGCTGGATGTAGTTCTTTCAGATGTGTTTCATAAAATATTCTGAATGAGAAGGGTTCCTAACTCCTATCCTGTGGAATTTTGCAAATGATGAATTAAAAGCACTTTAAACTTAGTAATGGAGGGATACAAGACACAGAACTGTCTGTAAGAGAAAGTGTATAAGGCAACTTTCATGTTCAGATTTTATCTGCTGGAAAACTCTACTAGGAAACAGTGAATCTCTTTTATCCATTATTATGGTTATAGATTCTGAAACATTCAAGCCCTGTTTGTGTGTTCATGCATCATATGTACTAATCTGATAAGGCCTGTGGTTTCCAACAGCTTTAATACAAGACATCTAAACTGTCAAAAAGTAGTGAGCATCAGCTTTCTTATAACCATGTCTTTTATGACTGTATGAGATATAGCCTGGCTCTGGGGTGTGTGCAAGCAGCCCAACTTAGAGTAACTTTTTTCTTTAATTTGGAACAGGCTTCACTTTCTCTAGTGTTTCTGTTTAACTGTATCAGCAAGGTTTCATTGGGTTCTGTAATGATTATTTCTTTAAATTGTTCCACTGGGATGGATCCTTGGTACGATCTTCATCCTTTTGCCCTCAGTGCTACCCTCAATATTTCTAATGTAAGGAATGATATAAAATGATTTTGCCTCTGCAATGTCTCATCTTCTTGCTCTTGAGGGTCATCTGGAGTTTCACTAAGAACAGTTGCTATTTTTTTTAGGTAATTTTTCTCAGTTCTACTCTTTTTCTTCACCAATCTCTTTCTCCTTCTAACACAACTCTGTCTCAATATCAAAACTGAGCATAAACTGGTATCATCCTATAAGACTTTTGGAGACATGATGGTAGGTCACACTAAAGTAGGCCAAATCTGGGAAGCATCTGAAAGCCTGCAGGTTGATCAGAGGTTTGTTCATCTCAATGAACTCTGCTCAGATTCGTTCTTCTAGAATGCACAGAATCCTCGTAGGTGTATATTATGGAATAGTTTCAGGCAGGTCAGTCTGATTTTGGATAATCCTTCTGTGAAAAGAAGTATTACTTTATAAACAGGGGAAAGAAAGTAGAGTACTCAAGAAGGCCAGCTTTTGTGTAGAACGTTTCTGATTGTTTAGCAAAGTTAATATACTGTTTTCATTAATTGAATATTGATTATTCTGTGGGGTGAGCTCTTCCTTGTGTTATTTTCACTGAATAATGAAGAATACACACATTCTCCGATCTGAAATGTTTAGGGAAACAAAACCCCCATCACAGAACAGAAAGAGCTGTAAGATGTGTTAACACTTAGGCAGATCAGTCACTTCATAATTGACTGCAATTTGCAATTCTAACCAGCGATGATGTTTTGTTTTCTTTTTGCCTGAAGCTTGGTCCCACTTAGAAGAGTGAGAAATCCTGTCTTGTCTCAGGAAACATCAAATAAATCTTCCTGCTCTGTTTATTACTATTGAAAAATCTCTCAAATGGGTGTAAATGAGAAGTAGGTAGGTTAACAGGAAATACATCAACAGGAAATACAGCACCATTATTCAGATACCATCATGAAGGGTCTGACAGAAAAATAAAGATTCTTAGATTTTGAAAAGTGACTGTTGCAGCCTTTGCTTTTATTTCCTGCACAAAATAGGCCAGATAATTGTTCCATGTGGGGAGCATGCTTTTATATTGTACATTTGGATGTTTTCTGCTTCTATTTGCATTCATGCCTTTGGGGTTATAATTCTGACATGCTGTTATTTATCTTGGAGGTAGTTATGGTCAGCAGGTCATTTTCAAAATAACAAGCACTTATTTCTGGACACATGTTAATTATTTCTACAGATGGATTAAGGAAATCAAAGCATATCAGAGCAACAGGTGGAAGCACTGCATCTAGCTAGTTCATATGCGATTGAATCTAAGGGAATACAGATACATCTGGACATTGGTGTCCATTCTTGGCAGCCTTTAAAGTATAGCTTCTTCCATGTTAGTGAAAAGCAAGTGACAGCACAGCTGCCATGGTTTAATTTAGAAAACAATGTAATTAAATCTTCATTCACACTTTTACAGCCACTGCATTGCATTTGGAAAAGCTGATTTAATTCAGCTTAATGGTAGCAGGCTTGACCTGAAAAAATTTCATTCATGCAGTGTCTAAGAACACTAACAAATCCTTCTGGGATGACTTTCTAGATGGAGGTAAATTTCATGCCTGCTCAAAGAGATGTTTTCAGTTAAGCGGGATGAACTGCGTTTTACAAATCTTTTTGGGTATTTGTGAATATAGACTTAATGGGCTTTTGCAAGTCGAGCAGTTTGTTGATAATGGATATCGTGCAATCTATAGTCAGTTCTGTTTTCCAGTAAGACTCAAGACAAAGATCATATTATCTAATTTACTTCATTACATGCAGACCGTGTACAGAACCCATGGTGTTACTCTAGGTCATTCTTCCTTCCAAATAAAAAATAAATGTAAATGTTCCAGAACAGGGTGTAAATGTTTCTTGTGTGTCTGTGTATTTTTTTGAAAATAGACCTTTTTCAGTAGGAACCTTTGAAGTAATATTAGGCCAAAGAACTTTGCACTAGTGACTGTGGTTTAGCCAAACAAACCAACCAACCAGGACAGTTTTTCAAATCCATTGGCCCTAACATATTTCAAAGACTTAGAGATAGCTTTCACTAGAAATAATCATAATAACCATTTGGGGAATTAATAGCTTAGTGATCAGCTTTGGTTGCTTTGAGCTTTTGGGGATCCTCATACACTTAAATGTCTTGAGCATTAAGCTCAGTTATCTCTATGTCTGTTGAACGCACATAATAATTTGCACATGGCAGCTAGCACAGTGTCTGGGACCCAATCTGTGATTTTCATGGCTATGTTTCTAACTTGCATCTACTCTTTAGAACTCCAGTAAGGAGAGCAGCTGCAAATACTTCTAACAAAAGAGTCAGAGAGAAATACCACTATGATTTTCCAGAGAGATGGTTACTAGTGACTTACATGACTATCAGAGCTAGGGAAGCACCACTGTTCTTCTATAACGCTTTTTTAAAGCCAACAGTTGTCATACTTTCAGTGATAGCTTGCGGTGAAAAGGGAAGATTAATGGTCTTGGGAGATTCACAATATGGCTGCTTTAAGGAAAAATCTCTTGGAGCTAGGGGAGATTTATCATGGTATATGAAGATTCCAAAACATTTATAACCCAGAAAGGCACGATGTGTTTAGCTGCAATAAGAAATCGAAGACTTCCTCTTCATGAATGCATCAATCATTTTGCAGTTTAATGACATGCAGATAAAATAACAGCATTTTAGTAAGAATGTTTCATTGTGTGCACACAAAAAAAGTGAAGAGTAAACAAGATCTCTTTTCTGTTTCAGGGGTCAAATCTGACAGATATCTGCACACAGCTCTTGCTCCAAGGAACTTTGTTAAAAATCTCAGCAGGAAATATCCAGGAGAGAATGTTCTTTCTATTCGATAATCTACTGGTCTATTGCAAGAGGAAATCCAGGTGAGTTCCTCTGCCTTCATGGTTTTATAATGGGACTATTCTGAGGTTTTGTACATAGGATGTATGAGAATTTACAGAGCACTCACTTTGTTCCCCGTTGCTATGTAAGGCTGAGTCATAGTTGTGACTTTCCTCTGTTTTTGACTATTGCTATTGCTTATACTATGTGAGGAGGAAATTACTATGTGATGGGATAAATATGCCAGAGATTAATGGGGTTCCCACCCTGAGAAGCACACAGTCCAAAGACAGAAGTTGATACAGTGCAGAAAAATCACTAAGTGAGTTCTTACAGCTGGAAGGCTTCCCAGAGCAGATGGATCTCCAGGAGTGATGTGAAGAAGGAGGCCTTGCCAACTTTCTTTGTGAGGTTATTCTAAGGAGAAGAGGGTGACATGAAAATTGATATAAAGCCAAGAAAGGAGAAAGAAGACTAAGGGAACATTTAGTAGATGCAGGACCAGGACACAGTGGATAGAGGATGAAGATCAGTAGCCCATGTGCTCTATGAATTGTCTTGCTTTCTTCTCTTAGTAGCAATTTTTGCATCACTTTACCTTATAAAAGTTGAGCATTATTGACAGCTGCCACTTATTTTTAAAATAGCACTGGCACCATGGATGGCAATTTTCTTCTGTTGCCATATACTGTATTTCAATTCTTAAGCTTTTCACCTCCACATTCCTAGTCTCATTCTTGGGTCCTGGTCTTTTCTGGATGATTTACCATGCATCTTCTACTGTTCAGAATCTCCTCCTGTAATATCCTTCCTCTTATTCAGTTTATACCTCTTTACTGGTGATGGCCAACCCAGTTAGAACTTCTCAAAAACCAGAGTGTTTGATCCAAGGAAAATATTTATATTTCAAATTTTGGTTTATTTTCTGTTTGTTTGTTCAGTAGAAATTTTGGAATCATTAAACTGGGAAAAAAAAATCATCAATCATGCTTATACGTTTTGTGTGAATAACAATGAAAGTATACAATATAAAAAGCAATTTGTTACACAAAATCTACTTTAGAAATTATTAGAATGTAATATAAATATTTAACTGAAGGGAAAAAGGACACATCTTAAATAGCTTCTAATCTTATCTAACTGAAGCATTCTGACAATGGAGTAGAATCATAGTTTGGGTTGGAAGGAACCTCTAAGATCATCTCATTCCAACCCCCGGCTGCAGGAAGGGACACCTCCCTCTACAGCAGGCTGCTCACAGCCCCATCCAGCCTGGCCCTGAAGGCCTCCAATGTGGGAACATTCACAGCTTCGCTGAGCAGCTTGTAAGAAAGTTGAAACATTTCCTTTTGACATTTCACCAGTTTGTCAAATCCGCGCTTGTGTATAAGACATTTCAGAAATTTGAATCTTCTAACTGAAATCTTTTATTTAAAAAAAAAAAATCAACTTGATACGTAATCTTTTCTTTCTTCAGAGCTCTTAAAAGCTGTCTTGCTATTTCTGTTGGTAGTTCAGGTTAGCGTAGCCCCTCCCGCTGTCCAGGAACATTTCCCGGAATGCTAAGATTCAGAAAACAAAATGTTCTACTGCCTTTTAAGCAACCCTCTGTTTTTTGTACAGGGATGTCACTGAACTACTCTGTAGTTTGGCTTAATTTTGGAGGAGGCTGCTGTAACACTTAGGTTTTCCCAAAGGATCAATATTGTTTATCTTTGTCTAATAATATAGCTTGAACTGATGAATGCCCAGAATCTGATTTCTATTAAAAAACTGAACATTTTATTAAGTCTACTGGGAATTTCCAAATGTGAAAGATAAATTTAGGAATTGCTACATGGCTTAGTTTTGGATATTTCCCCTGTCTAGCTGCTATTTATAATTAGCCCAGGATGGAAATGCATTTATTTCCAGTTGTGCTGTCATGATCATTTGAGCTGTTGCTTGATGAACAACCAAGGTGTTAGTGGAACACAGATTTGAAAGAAGAACAAAGCCCTGCCTGTGTCAGTTCTCAATTTGAAATTGAATTACACGATTCTTATCTCACTTACACTATGCTAATCTTGTAGAAGTCAGTGGATTTTTTTCCTGGATCAAAAAGTGCAATCAGAACTCAGCCCTAAATCTTCAGTAGATAATCATTCCTGCAGCCATTTTACTTTGGGCATCACCTTTCTAACAACAGCACAAATTAGAAGTAGCTTTGTTGTGACCATTTTAAGATGCGTTTAGAATCAGAATCAGATTTGTGATTTTAGATCTAAGACTACAATCTCAGCTTTTGCAGAAGCTTTGGGCAGCCTGCCAACCTGATGACATAGATGTTTGGTTTTTTTCAGAGCTGAGTATTGTTTTGTATTTTTGGTGGTATCACAGATTGCCGCTTAAATTGAATCCTGATGTTAGGAACAATATGTTTCATGTGGGCTGAGTATTTAAAGGGTTTTATTAAGGCTGCTAGGACAGCTTTTCTTTTGAGTACAACAGACATATTTAGGAAATGATCTAATAGCTCCTAGATCTCAGGCTCTGTCAGGCTGATTAGATGTTAATTTATGGTCATTACCAAAGGCATATTTGTTGCTTAAACTAGTTGTAAAAAGGAAAAATTGTTCAAAAACCCGTGGTGTTTCTCATCTCACCACAGTTATCACAGATATTTCACTCTGACAAAAATTTTCTCCCCAGCTGTTTTTTATTGCATTATTCTTTGAATTTTATGAACTCCTGGCAGGTTGCCAGCGCAATCCCTTCACTGCACAGAGTTTGGACACTTGCCATCTCAAGCAGTGATCATTTGACCAGTCATGTTTTGGTTCATATAGCAGGGTTGTTCTTAGATATTAAAGCTCAGCAGGTGTTGGTTGTGTAGTTTTAAACCTATTCTAGACATAAAAATCAGAACATAAATATTAATGAAAAGTGCTTTCCTGAAGTTTTTTATAGGATACTTCAACAGACACTGAAAAGCTTATGGATGAGGACATAAATTCTAGTGCAAAATTGCCACAGCAGCACTTTCATGAATGCCACATGCAGAGACACTTAAGACACACGTGAAGGCCATGTGATGCCTCACTGCACGTTTCATTGTACACTTGGAATTATACACCCACCACAATTTCTTCAAAGCTGTAGGCAAGTATAACATTTTTGTAGGTAGTATTAAGGGTTATATTCCAAACTCATATGCAATTCAGGTAAGTACTCAAGAATGCAAATCTTAAAGACATCCGATCTCCAAGTAATCATGCAAAATAAGCTCGCTCTTGCTGTTCTGATGCTGTTGCAAACTTATCATTGTAAACTCACTGAGCACTTAAATCTGAGAAGTGGCTGAATGCTACAACACACTAGACTTGATTCCTTTTTTAATAGTCACATCCCAGGTTGATTTTTGCTGTTGTTTTCTGTATCCATTGAATCCAAAAAAAGCTGTGTGTTGTAATATATGTGATGTACGTATGTAATAAACACCTTGCTTTGGTTGCTTATGCTTAGCTAACCATCTGAATCCTAATTGCAGAGTTGCTGGGAAAAAACCATCCAAACGGACAAAATCAATCAATGGATCCCTCTATATCTTCAGGGGTCGAATAAATACAGAAGTCATGGAGGTGGAGAATGTGGAAGATGGAACTGGTAAGAGAAAAACTTACCATTTGTTTTTTAAAACAGAGCAAATCCAAATCTTGTGTGGGAAGTTATTACAAAAGTATTCACCCTACTCCTTTAACGAAATCTTTGGTAAGCTGTAACATCTGATGTCTTCATTCTTAGGCCAACTTGTAAAGTTGAAAGACTGGTCATGCTTTCAAACATTCTTCATTCTGAAGTGACCTTTTGAAGAGCTTGTGTATCCTGAAGCTTGTCTATTTTTTCTCCTAATCCAAGTTAATTTAGTAAAAGATATTTTATCTTCTTTCCATCCTTTATTTTCTCAGATCTTAAGCCATTACAGCTATAATAACAGAACTTCTAGATCTTCTTCGCATTTAGAATACTACCAAATATTAGTCTTAGCATCAAATCAGTAGCATGGAATGTGGCCATGATGAAACATGGGAATGGCTGCTGCATTACTGTTCTTTTGTCCTGACACATGCTGAAAGAATGGATGGGTTCTGACTTCATCCACAAAGGCTGCACCAGCTCCTGCGACTGTTGTAATAAGTCAGGAATTAGCATTCTTTCCTTTCAACAGGTGACATTTAAATAGTTTCCATGTTCTGAACAGCCTGCTGTATTCCCAGAAAGTTCAGAACTAATAATCCAAACAAGTGTTGTAAACTTTTTCACCAGTGCCATTCCATTTAGGATATTTTACCTCTTCTGGGATGAAATTACAAACTATCACCTTAGGTGTGAAGCTGTAGAGAAAATGGCTTTGTGGGCAAAGTATCGTGGCAAGAAATATGAAAATGCTGGTCTACCTTGAATGGAACTTCAGTCATCAGTGTAATTGGTGTGGATTTTCTCTGCCCTGGCTCTAGACATAAAAAAAAAAACTTCCAGGGCACTTCCAAATGTGAAGTTCCACTCTCCTGAAGCCACAGCGATCCTTGATCACACCCTTTCTCACATAAAAGGTGTTTATAAAAGGGCAGGGTTTTCAAGTTGAACAGCCTGGCCATAGATACTTTTAAAATACTTATATGGACAGTTAGTAAGACTGATGCATGAGGAACACCTTCAAATATGAAGCTCTCCAAATAAGAATATTTTAATAAAGGTGTCACACACTGATCTGATTAAAGAAGGCCTTCTATTGACTGTGTGCATTGTGCTTTGGGTTTTTACAGCAGATTACCACAGCAACGGCTACACAGTGACAAATGGCTGGAAGATACACAACACAGCCAAAAACAAGTGGTTTGTCTGTATGGCCAAGACTGCGGAGGACAAACAGAAATGGCTGGATGCTATAATCAAGGAAAGAGAGCAGAGAGAGAGTAAGTGGAAAATGTATATATATATTTTTTTTAACAAACAGGATGAATTTGTGTAAAAAGGAGAAATTAATATGCATGCAGAAATCTTTCTGAGAGAAAGAGAAGACTGCAGCTTTTGCTCTGTGCTTAGAGACTTAAAATCTGTCCTTAAGGACAAAGAAGCTCAAGAGATTGAAAACATACATTTCTGAATATTGTGAGATGATTTGTTTCACGGGTGCATGTCATTAATATTTATCAATATTTTTCGTTTACAGGAGGGTCAGTTTCTGCCACAAGTTCAATGAAAGCAGAGAATCTAAATCCTTTAATGTTCTTTCCAATCCAAGCTTTTGTTTTTTTATGTTAGAATATTTTGCAGCAGGAAAACATCTAATCTGCTAACATTGCAGTATTTCTTTATCATAAACGTGAAACATTTCTGACATACCTTATCATGTATAAGTCCCAATGCAATTTTTTTCTGATAGTAGGTATACTAACTTCCAAATGTATGGTGTGAAGGCATACTGTGAATTCAGAAAAGCTCTCTGGGGTCAACAGAAATAATCAGTTTTATTTTCTATTAAAAGAAGAATTTTAACATTCCGAACTGATGATCTTTATTCATTGACTAGTTCTATATGTTTTAAATGAAATACATTTCTTGGCTCTTAGTTTTACCCTCAGAGTTCTAAATCATCTCTCTAAAAGATCCAGTGAGTCTTCATTTCAGAGTGAGTTTTTGCTTTATGAGGTCACTAGTGCTCTGCAGAATTTCCTGTGCATCGATTGAAATGTATGAGAGCACATGGTGAGAGAGATGGTTTGATAAGAAGTAAAAAGACTGAACTAGAAAAACCAATCACATACTAGCAGGGGCTTGAGAATAAGGAAGGAAACTGAAATATCAGGAAGGGAAAAAAGAATTACTCCTTAATAGAAAGTTTTCCAAATCTTTCCATGCAACGTTGGGTATTCTTGAGAATTTTTTCTGATGCTTTTTGTCATACAGTTTTATGACGTGGCAGCTGATGACAGGAGCTCAGGATAAGCGTGGATATTCTGGAAGACATTCCAGACCTATTGGAAAATCTCCTTTGGATTAGAGTAATTTTAAAATCACAGACTATCTGTGCTTAGATTAGAAAGATTGGTGAGGTTCCCGATTCTTTGTGATGAGTTGGATGGAATGTGCATTCCAGTTTGCCATTTACATCAGAGCCCGGGGAATTCAGTGATGTAAGACCAGCATGAAACATGTGCTGTTTTCTATCACAAGTTCATGTTGCAATTTAGCCTCAGCTACATGTGTCAGCATTTGCATTGAGTTGGATCACATTACTGGACAAAGAGAATGGAAGAATAATGACAATAAACCAGGGGATTTGAAGAGCCAAAACCCTTAGCCAAATATCAGACACATGAAAGAAACACTATATTTGAAAGACAAAACTTAGCACAAGACTAGTTTCTGGAACACGCACATCCAGTGCATGTTCAAACAAATGCACTAAACATTTTTTTAAAGTTAGGAAGCATCTCCAGTGTGACATAAGAGACTGTTCATTCATTAATTTGTCAAATTCATAAAGGAACAGCATTTACACGCAGCTAGGATGAATTATTCCTAAAGAATGTATAGTTTTCATTTTCTAGCCTTATGCTGAACACTTAAATTCTGCTCTATGTCAATCTCTGTAAAGGTTAGGCAAGTAAATCAAAAACTGATTCTGACTTCAGACTAATCCTAGAGATACCCAAGCCCAGGGCTCTAGTTTGGACTCCAGAATTCTCTAGATTTGTGAGTGGATTTTTGCTGCCCCTATTGAGAAGTATCATGCTTGTGATTCGGAAACATAATTAGCAGACATTAATTCTCCTGAGTCTTGCTTCCTGCTCTATCGATTACTATTCAGTAGCCATCTTAATACACTTAGAGTTTGGTGTTTTCAACAGTATGCACGTCATGAACTTGTCTGAAAAGCACAAGGCCCAGATGTACCCTTCCCACTGAAAGATTCAAACATACGGTTTCACATCCCCAGCTGAATCTGCTTCAGTTCTGGACCTACACAAAACAGTCTAAATCCAGTCCATAATTTAAATACATGCAGATGGATGCTTGGGAAAATTCTTGAAAAAATATACCCCGAAAGCAAAATGACTAATTCCAGCTAGGAGAGACAAAGCATCCGCAGCAGCAAAATAACTATTCTCATGTGCTGTCCTAAAGCAATTTGCCCTTTATTTCTAGGTGAAACACATTTTCCAAGCTTTTTTGACAAGTCTATAAAGATGAGTGTCAGAAAATGCCAGTCATGATGACAGTTGTTGCAACACAGAAATCCGTTCTTTTCAGAGATCTTCTCCATCACTGTGGCAATTTTCAAGTTAACATGTGCTATGAGGAAATTCGTACAAAGTGGAAATGAAAATTTCCTTATATTCAATATATGTCATGTCTTAAAACATTCAGCATTTCTTTCATTTACTGGATAATATGATTTTCAGGCTGTATTTTTAGCCTAGGGATATTAATAAATAGGCAAATTAAGAAAAGATGAGAAAATAATGTTCCCATCTACCTTTGACTTATTTAAGGATGTGAATTTGATATCAGTAGTTTTGTATTTTTGACTTCAAGTAATAGAACACTCAAAAAAATGATCTACTCTGCCAAGCATTTAGCTGCATTGAACAAGTCTTGTGACGGCAGTTATTCCAGGGTCAAAGATGAAGTTGCTGCAGTTTCTGGGGATATATGTTTTATCTCTCATTATTTGGAACTTTGCCACCTTCTGTAAGCTGTTCTACTTTCTGTGCTGTGATGAATCCATAAGTTTAAAGTTGTTTTTAAAAATGGAAAAAAAAAGGTCCCAGATGCTACTCTCATAAACGACAGCTTTTTGTTCAGGTCTGTAAGTGGTTCAGTTTCCCCTTAATCTGGAAAACAAGTATCTACCACTTTGGCCTCCGCTTTTATCATCGGGGAAACACTCTACCTGATGATTTGCATCTGAAGGAATTTCTGCTTTGTATTCCAGGTTTGAAACTGGGGATGGAGAGGGATGCATACGTCATGATTGCAGAAAAAGGAGAGAAGCTGTACCAAATGATGATGAGCAAGAAAGTGAACCTTATCAAAGACAGGAGGAGAAAATTAAGTACTGTTCCCAAGTGCTTTCTTGGCAAGTAAGTAGCATTCAAACAAAAAAGGCACTTTCATGCTAATTAAAAGAATTAGCTGTGGATTTTCTGTGGATGGCATTGTAAGGGTAGATCAGATGTGCTTTAATAGAGCTTGATTGAAAAGGCAGTAAAAGCCTTAATTTCTGTTTTATGCCATGAACAAGCTGTACAGTGACAGCTCATTCTATTGTATAGCAGTAACACATAACAGCTGTTTCAAATTGGCCAAAGGAGTAAGAAAAAACACCTGAACTCCCACAAGTACAGGGCTTTTAGTGGCCTAACCTGTATCCTCTTTTGTATACAAGCAGATGCAGACCAGGTCATATTTAAATTTAGCAGAATCAATCCCGTTTCAGAGCTGAATGTCCTGTTTGACAGTGTAAGAGACACAAATAAAATTCATCAAGAAACCTGATGTATTTGTTAAAAGATTTACTGTCTGGAAAATATTCCTCTTTCATTCAGGCTAAGTATTGCAAAATAATTCTCAAGTGTGTTGTGCATGAGGCATTGGAAGAGAGACCCATGAATGACTCAGATCAGTGATCAGAAATGGCAGCACTGGGGCTGTTGTAGGGAAGTGTCCTGTATGGCACAGAGAGATGCATCAGTTGACCTGAGAAGACTTTTCTGCCTCAGCTGTTTATGATTGAAATAATCAGCTGAGCGAGGAAAACAAATTCTGAATGGCTGATTATCCATGAATTTCCCTCCCTGTGGTCTCTGTAACGGCATTTTGTAGGCATTATTACTTGTGTACAGGATGTGGAAATCATGCACTGTCTTTCTGCCTAGAAGGCAGTTAGTAATATAAGCTGCTAATAATTTTGCTATCAAAACCTCCTTGCTTCTCAAGATTTTGTTCTTCTTTTCTACTCTTTATTCTTTTCTTCTCCTTCAGTTATCTTTCAAATTGAAACGTCTAAGCTGTGACTTGGAGGCATGATCCAGCATTTCCCAGTTTCCAAATAACAAGATGTCCCAGATCAGAAGTTGTTATATATATATATATACATATAGAATATATATATACAAATCTATTGTGGATTTCCTGACTTTTTTCATAGTCTCAGCTACTACATTTCTTTTAAAATGTCTTCTTACATGCCCCACTACCTTTCCTGCCCATCACCCTCAGTTTACTTGGTAGTCATCTGAGACTCTGCTAGTGAGGGCTTGACGCTGCTTTGCCAATATCTGAAGCCAAACTGAGATACCTACAGGTATTCTGGCCTCTGACCACAGCATTATTTCTGCAAATGTTCCATGCTACTCTATTAAAAAAAAATAATCTGCTGATGTTTTCTTAAGCTGCATGTTGATACTGTTCTGGACAACTTACTTAAGTGCGACTCAATCACTGCAATCCAGTCATGACTTGCAGACGTTTCATATCATTCCAGGGGCTTCCCCTGAGCAATTTGTTTTGGCTGGGACCTATTTATTTTTTTCAGCTATTCCTGCCTAAGGGAGAAACTAAGAACAGTGCTGAGATGTACTTAGTGGTTTTCTGGTAAATGCAGTTGAGAGTAACAGTAAGGCCACAGAAGCAGTTTTTCTCTTGGCCTTTGGATATTAGAGATAGCATCTAATAATTCAAGAAATAAAATGTGGTTGTACTGGAAAATAGAGTATGAACTATTATTAATAACTTTAGAAATACCACATGCATTTACTTATAAAGCTGTTTATTTTCTGGAGCATAAATCTATTTTCCTAACCACTCTTCAGGTGTGCTGGCATTCAGGCATGTAAATAGTGATACAATCCACTAGCTGAGTGTCGGTGCCAATACGTGTAAATCTTATGCTTGCTGTGCTTCATTTCAGCACTGCACTAAACTGATTGCAAACCCTTGACTGTGTTGTACTTGTAATAGAGAGGATCTGTTAACCTCAGGAGATTCCAGACATATCTGATAATATTGCACAAAACTGGATGGGCTGGATTTTCATATCTTTCTTGTATGTATTTCTTGAGTAGAAATCCAGCTATTTTCAGTCCCTTAGTTTCAGAGATATTAGCTGTGAGGTGGCATCCTAGCTAGTATGCCAAATGAGAACTCAGCATGGCAGTGCTGGGCAGTGGAGATGCTCTCAGTTATACTGAGAACTACTTAGAATGAGATGGGGAAACAAATCAAATTTTGCCACAAATTTTTTGAATGGATGCCTTTTAGCAAGTCTCATATCCCAGAGAAAAACAACAGCCCTCTTAGAATATTTCTGGGTCATGCACTTTGCAGTGTTTATAAAATTTTCAGGCAAATGATTATTGATTTTACTTATGAGTCAAATGCCATGGAAGTCTTAAAATGGCTTTTAAGAAAGCTATCCCATAGCAATGAAACTTCAGAGCATTGAGAATAGTATTCATTTATTTTGCTTTTTCAGCTCTCCGTTTCAAGCTTTAAGATGACTGCCTTACATTTAGAATCCCAATGAACTCTAGGGACACAGTTCCAAATGAAAGATGTAGGAAAGCTAAGAGGTCATCAATGTTCTGCTTCAGTTTTGGGCAGTGGTTTAAGTGTTACAAACTGTCACGGATCCATTGCATTTGATGGAAAATATATAGCAACCTGGGCATCTACCCTGGGTGCTTAATGTGATTACTGTCATTGGCCAGTACGTCTGGCTGCAGCACTCCAGAGAGTCTATGCTTTGTGTTCCCAGTAATTGATGCAGAGGATTCTTCTTTCTTCTCCATTTCCTTATGAGATACAGAGCCTGACTCAACTCTACAGTAGTCTGACTTTTAGGAGTTTTAGGAGTTTTACTAAAGTCTGCTGTTTTCCATGGGATTCCCCTGATGTAGTTGAACAGATTGTGCTGTTTTTTCTACGTTATGAAAGTTATAGAGTAGGACCTCAGCAAACTCAGATTTTTGTTACTGAAATTGTTGTTGTTATTGTAAAGACAAAATGTAAATGCTACCTACAGCTTATCTAAGCCAGAGTCAGCTCTGATAAACATGAAGAGACTAAAAATGCTTCATGTAGAGCCCACAGTTGGAGGCATGGATGCTGATTTTGATAAGCAGCAACCCTCTGCATATTGGCAAGCACCCAAGTGGTTTATTGAACGTAGATTTCCCATATGTTCTTCTACTTTTATATGTTCCTTTTGTTATTATATTTTTAATTTAATGCATTTCTTGCTTAATTACTAATTAACCTGGGAAACTCAGGTCCCCTAGGGCTTTGGCAGGACTTGCAATATCCGTTTTTCTGTACTTAACTGTTTCTAATTGAGTAATATCCTACCTATCCATTTCTGGCCCTTATTCTGCCCATATGGGCAGCTCTGCCCCTCAACAGAGAAAGGTTTTATTTCATGCTGTGTATGCAGACAGACTTAGCACTTCTTGTCTGTAAATTAGAAGCACCTTTTATGTATCTCCAAGGCACCAGCTTTAGTAAATGACCTTAAATTAAACTGTTAGGGGGGGTTGGTTGTTCTGTTCTGCGCTTGAATTCAGTGAGTTCGAATTTTCTGTCCTAAGTCCTACTGTGATTTCATTGAAAGCCTACACAATTACATGATTAAGGGAGAAAAAAAACAGAGCCAGTGAAGAAAGGTGAGCATATATAATTAAATCACACAGTGAACACAGCTTGGAGAGAGAGCTTGGACTGGAGTTGCTGCTTTCTGTGCAACTTTTTGTTTCTAAGGTCATCGTGGCTCAATAAAGTAAGGATCTGCAGCAGTTTTATAGACTCTGATAGGTCTTCTTCCCTTTTGTGTAGGTGTTAATTAGGATGACCTAAGGGGAGTGTTGGGAAAAGTCATGAATAGGAGATCTGGATCTTCTGCAGATATTTATTCCAGAAATGTATGAAATTAAGCCACAGAGAACTATCAGTCTTCACAACAATTTTCACATTTGCTTCAAAGACAGTGTTGCCTGTGGTTGACTGATGACTTGCAGAGGCTCATGTCTGCTTATATTCAGAGAGAAAAAGAAAATTGTTTCTGTTCTGTTTTCCTTTTCAGTGAGTTTGTATCATGGCTCACAGACATTGGAGAGATAAGCAAACCAGAGGAAGGGGTCAACCTGGGACAGGCGCTGTTGGAAAATGGAATTATTCATCATGGTAAGTGCTCTGTGCCATAAAGAGATGCCAGATTTCAGCAATGCCTTGGGAATGAGGGTGGACAGTTGACTGTGGCTGTTCACATGATGTTCAAATGCTCTTCTGTATCATACCTGGCAAATCCTCAGTGGTTAGTGACTTTTAGAATTAACGGCAGCAGGCAAATCTAAATCATGAAAACTGAATGTGTATAGTTGCACTGTCAGTGAGACTTGCTATTCATGACTGCTTACCCTGCTGTAATTTCATACTCTGACCCTTTCAGCACCATTCTTTTTGTCTGAACACAAATTTATAGCTCGGAGGAAACTGTGCAATTACATCCACTGCATCTCTTACTGAAATACACCAAACAAGATGCATCTGATTTGGTTTTAATGTTACCTCTGGTTAGAGTTACTAGCTGTTACTGTCTCCAATGACAGTTATTGCTAGACCTTAGAAGGTATTTGCTGTGCTTGATTTAGTTAAGAAAATATCCCTTGAAATTTTGATAAATAACTAGAGAAGAACGTTTCTCATTATGCACCCCTTAACATAGCAAGAACTTAAAACTTAAGCACCATAATTAAGCAGTTACCCCTACTGTACATCATACAATGTCTTTTATCTTTTGTTTTCACTTGGCGTAACGTTACTGTCAGATGAAAACTGCTGATCTTTCAGCCTGCCTGGAAAGCAGGGCCAGAGAAGATTGCTAAGTGGCAGTGTTGTTCTCCATTCCTTTCTGTTTCTGTTTATTCTGTTTTTTTTTCTTTCTCTGGGCCTGGTAATATGTAAGTATTGGTACCTACAACACACAGCAGAACTGACTGGAATCTCATCTTCTGGGCACAAGAGATACTTTCTACAGAGTTGAATGTCAACTGGCTTTAGAAATACAAAATCCAGAGTGAGATTCCACCACACACAAACATATATGCACTTGATTCTGTGTATTTTGGTTTATTCTGTGAAATTAAGGAAAAACATCACCACGAGCAGAAATCTTCATGACATATTCATGGGCCAAGTTGTCCTACATTATGAGGAAAAGTCTTTAGAATTTCTAGCTTCTGCCTTCTAAAAAACTGTCCTATGTGCTTTGCAAGGGGCAGACTAAATCTCAAACTGAATCCTGGTACTTCTGAGTTGGACTAACAGTGCAGTCAGTTGTTTCAGGTTAATCAAACTGCCTAAAGTGCACCTTAAATAGTATTTTTTCTCAGTTCATCAAGTGTTGTGCTTGTACTGTGAAATACTGCATCCAAAATGCTAAAGGACAGGCCAGCACAAAGATCTGGCCATGGCAAAGGCAGGAAAGATTGCAGTGACTGAGCAACACCAGCTCACCTGCTGTCTGCTTAGATTACTGTTCTCAAGATCACCCTCTTTGTACATAGTTGTTACTGGTCTCCATTATATTAAGTTGTGAACAATGGCACGTTTACACTGGGTATTGTACTGTCTAGAAGATACTTCATAGCTTACTTTGAATTTGAACACTCTTTGGCACTTCATAGTTCTCACTTATGAATCACGGTAACAGATAATTTCTACCAATTATTAAATTATAATCTTTATTGTGAGGGTTTCCCTCTTTTGTGTCCCGTATGGTTTGATATGACTTCAATCCTCTTCTGATTTAGCTTGTTGGATAAATGTGTTTGAAACTGTATATGTTTTTTGAGTCTTCTGACATTAGCCAATGCACCTTTTAAAAATGTTGTCACACAAAAATTTTGTGCTTGTCTTTAAAGCCTGTTAGCATAAAGTATGACCAAATAACTTTAACTGCCCATAGCATAGTTCTTCTGAGTGAAGAATTGCAATTCTGGGTCTCTCAGAAGTGCTATTCAAATTTTAGGAGAAACTCACAATTGAATTCAAGAATCCTGGTAGAAGAATACTTCTAACAGCTGTAGTTTGTCCCACCAGAATACTCTCTGTGTTTGGAACTGCAGAGCTTTAGGCAGCTGCAAAATGGCTTTAATGCTGTGATAACTGTTGCGGGAATTTGCAGGCACTTTGTTCAAAATTCATCAAAAAACATCAGACAACCCCGATTACCTTTACTGGGACCATTTCCAGTGCCTTACAGAAATTGAATCTTATGCAAAAGGAAGAAATGTTGATTTTATAAAGTTGCTTTTGTTGGTGGAGCTATTCAGAAGTGCACATAAGCATCTATATGTAAACAAGACATCTTAAATGTAGAAGGACCAGCTGGCCTATGAACAACATGATGGGGGAAAAATACTGATTTTAATTATCATACTGATGTTCTAGTTTCAGATAAGCACCAGTTTAAGAATGAGCAGGTGATGTACAGATTTCGCTATGATGATGGAACATATAAGCCAAGAAGTGAGTTGGAAGACATCATGTCCAAGGTTTGTGTTACAGTGCTTACTTGAAAACTAGCGATTTGCAAAAGAACCTTCAAAAGAGTTTCCTCTGCCTATGAATGTCAGTGTCACGTTGTGTTGGAGATCCCTAGTATTGTTTACCTTCATTCTGTTCAGTTAACTGTACTAATGTCAAAGGAGACATTCACTCCAGGGAGAGGAAGCAGAGGTTAGCCATAAATAACAATAAAGTTGTCACTGCAATCAAGACTGCTGATTAAAATTCTACTACATTGTAACAAAAGGTCTTAGGAGAAAATAGTGTGCTATAATGCAAAATGTCTGTTGAAAATCTGAGCAGTATGATTCAGGGAGTCAGAAGCCATCAGTATTTAACTGCATTTCCTGATAAATATATGTCAGATGAGTTCTGATGACCCATATCTGCCCATAAACCTTTTTAATGCATTTCATTTCTTCTTATGGAAACTAGATAACGGGTTAATTGGGAAGAAAGATTAATGGAGAAAACGTTGGAGTTGGTTGGAGATTGAAGGGCAGATTTTTGGGGTTCTGAATGCTGGGAAAGAAGAAAATAGTTTGTCAGAGTATAAGGGATTTGTTTCGTAGAACCGTTAATCAGTAGATAATTCTAGCTGAGCAGAGACATCAGTGTCCAGGTTTTTCTAGCTTTACTAGTCAGCATTTTATTTGTAAAAGAAAAAAATGGTAATAACATCTATCTACCTTTCCCTCTTCAGGGTGTTCGACTCTACTGCCGACTACACTGCCTGTACACTCCTGTGGTAAAGTAAGTTCACCCTCGTATTGTATTGAAATCCTTCTCGGGATAAACTGGAATAAGCATTTTTGTTGCTCTTTTATCAATGTGCTATTTATGTAATAGAATCTCAGCTGGAGAATCTTCTTGTGTCAGAATTAATTTGTGTTAGTAACAGCTCGTGTCTGTGCATGACTGGTACAAAATTGCAGAATCTCAGAAGTTTTAGAATCCATCTGGGTAGACTCAACGTTTTCAGCCTGTGTTCAGGCTTTCCTACTGATACTTCCTTTTACCTCAGTGTTACAAAACTGAGTTCCCCAGGCTCTTATCTTTCCATGTCTTATTCATGTCTTTTTGCTTGACAAGCCTAATGTTTCAGGAGCTAGCTTTTATCTAGCAGGTAGTTGTGCAAACCCCTTTTTACTTTTTGATCTATCGTTTGACCTCTGTTTTATTTGGCATTTTCAGAGTGCTGATCCCTGCAATCCTGTTAGCAGGACGGGAAAGATCTACTTTCTGTGTTGCAACATTCCTAAATCATAGGAAAATGACTTAGCATAGGTAGTGCATGAACCATGAGGATCTGGAGGAATCACAATTCACAATTCAATTATTTTGTGGAGAGCCTTGAAATATGATTTTGCTTAGCTCTTTCCCTGGCAACTTGGGAGTTTATATATAGCCTTTGTCTTTATAATTTTCTTTAAGTGAAGTCTAATGCTGGTGTATTTCAAGGAGAAGATGATGTACCTCACTTGCAGCAAAGCAAGCTTTGGGAGGATAACATATAAAAAGGAAAATGTTTCAGACAAGTGTTACGCATAAAAAGGGTTCTGACTATGTCTCTGATCTAATTCATGGGAATTTGTGAGAGCAAGAAAATGTGATCTCTGTTTACAGATTTGATGAACAATACTTCAGTTCATAGATAAGATACAGCTTGTGAGGAACGCTGTATTCCTCTGCTTTCTGTGAAGCAGCCAGGTTCTGCCAAAATTTTGATGGTTCCCACATCTGTTTGACCATTCACCTGCAGATGATGGTTCTGAACAGTGTTTTGTGGTACAAGCTCACTTGTTCAGGTTAGGTTGAAAAAGAGGAAATAATCAGTGAAATATGTATCATGATAAGCCTTTAAGTACTAGAACTGAAAGGCTGGGTGGGCCTGGAACCCTAATGCCAACTTATTCAAAGCTGTAGCCCAGGTCAGTATCTGTATGAAAATGCAGAGAGTTGCCACTCACAATCTGGAAACCTGTACTCATTTATACTGAGCATTTTAATGTTTTCCTTTATTGTTCTGACATTTCAAAAGCATATTTTCTCAAGATAAGATTGTATGAACAGAAAACTGCCTGGAAAACTCCTACAGTTTTGTGCTGGGTTTAGCACATTACTGGAAGACAACGTGAAAAATGTGTGTAAGCACTATGAGGAAAGTTTTTGTTCTGAGAGCACATTTCTGGAAATGCTGTCACGTTGTTTGTTTGTTTTTGCTTTTTTTTTCCCCCCCAAAGCTGTGAGAACCCCATTTCTGATTTCTCACACCCTGCATTCTATTTTTCTGTTGCATTTACTTATAAAAGGAAACTGAATGTATTTTTATCTGTAGGCGATTAGTAAAAGGAAAAGTTGAGTGGGATGAATTTCAGATGGTGGTTTGATATTATATTTTTAGAGAAAAAGGAAATATAAAATTATGTGGTACTAATGAAGAGGTTGATTTGACACAAAGACTTAAGACTTCCCTTGAGTTGCCATTACAGATATAAATAGACTGTGAAATGGTCCCAGTGGCCATGAAAGTTTTGTTCTTTAGTTATGCCTGATTTTCCCTGAATTCTCTTTTTTAGAGACCGTGATTATCACCTAAAGACCTACAAATCAGTAATACCTGCAAGTAAGCTGGTGGACTGGCTTATTGCACAGGTACGGATTTTTTAAGACATTGCTGTCTTTGAGAAGTAGCTTAATTTTTCAGTTCCATTTAAAAGTAAATATAACACATTTCTCTAGAGGGCATTTTAATATAATTGAATATATTCAATTTCTTTGAATTTACACTCATTTTATTGCTCATGTGGTCAAAGCTTGTTATTTGGCAGCATAAAGAAGAAGGAGGTCCTGTATTAGCCCTAGGAGTGGTGAACTGGTCGTTACTGCAGACCATTTCTGTTTCTTGTGATTTCTTTTTTGAAGACATGAAATGCAGTGTTCATTTCTTATAATCTAGGATTGATGTGGTACAAATGAAGAATGAATCTACAGCTTCATACCACAACCTGCACCATTATCTTTACAAATTGGAGTTGCCCAATACTTACCTTGTAATTACAGAGAAAAGCCTATAGATCAGGGTAGTTACAATTTAGCTTTCACAGTCTAAAGCAGTCTAAGGGGAGAGTATGTCCCCTTGCTCACTGCCGTAGGGTCTACTGCATGCTCTGGTTTTGTCTCAAATGATGGTCTGATTTACAATCACATCAAGTCCTATGCTGCCAAAGTGGCACAGAAGGTGACTAGTTTGAGTTAGACTCAGACCTCTGATTACCAGGGATGTTGTTTGTCAGATATGTTTCCTATAATTGCACATGACATCCTTCTATGTTAGTAAGATCGCTATAATTTAAGGTTGTTCTGTGCTAAATAACTAAATGAGAATGGAGTAGTAGATTGTTTTCCTATTAAAAGCATGGAGGAGAGCAAGCACATTAGTACTGAAATTGTTGTATCAGTTACATGTAATTTAACAGTCTTCATGGAAGGCTGAAGGAAAGAAATCTGCTTTGGCCAAAAAACAGAGCTGAAATCAGACTAATCTGGCCGTTACAATAACTAATCAATACCACAGACAGTAGAAAGACCCAAATGTCAGTGTAAAAGATCACCTCTCCCTCTGGGAAAAGGTTGCTCATTTCCTTCCCCATTTTTTTTCTTTCTGGTGTGTTAGTATGCTATTAGTTCTGTATTTACTGAACTTTTAGATTAAGATTGAAACAGTTTGTACTAAAACCTGAAATGGAGATATAGAATTCTGTGTAATTTGCATTATGCACATATGTCCATGCATACACATACACTGGTACAAGGATGAGGGGAAATTTTCTGTGTTATGTTAAAAGGGAACATTGATAAATATTTAAATCACTGTCTACAGCTTAGATGAGTTCCAGTCTTTGTAGCTAAATCAGTTTTTGCTGCTGAATTCTTACAAACAGTAGTTTGCTTGCAGCTTTTATACCTGACTGAATTATTTTCAATTGCTATGCTAGCTAACAATTGATTTTAGTGAGAGTTGTTGAATGCTCAGCTTTTTGCAAAGGTCTGTTTATTTAACTGCTCAAATATCAATGTGTCAGTTTAACATTAGGCATCTGTTCTTGAAAATATTGGTGATGGTGCCTGATTTGATAGCTGCCTGTTACTTTCTTTAATTAGAGAATGCTGTTTTGCTAGGGGAATGTTTTGAGATCAAGCATCAGGAATAAGCTGATCTAGTACGAATTGCATATGATTTATGGCCTTCCTACACACATATTGCTGTCTAAAACACAAACCGATATCTAAAGGTTAAAAAAATAACTGTAGGAGTCTCTTATCTTTCAGTTTATTTACAATCGAAAGAATAAATTAGATTTTTCAGTCCCAACCTCTGTAAAATACCCATTTATCTCATACATTATTGTAAAGTAAGCCATGAGAATTGTCACATGGCAGGCTGTTAAAAATGAGGAAAGACTGACAGGGATTGAAATTAATTCTTATAAGAATTAAACTTCAGGTGTACTGAAGCCCTTTGCTTGCCTCTCCTTGTGTGATTACATAATCCTGCAGTTCCTCCAAAGTTGCTCCAGTCTTTTTCTTGCCTATACAATAGTACTTAGTTCTTGATTTGCAAACGTCATGACTTTTTCTTGCTCCTTAGAATAAGAAGGTCCTTAAACAAGAGCCAGTAATGTAACTGACTGAAAGAACTGATTCTGCATTTAAGTACTACCTTTACACCATAGTATTTTTTTGCCAGTATTTGCCTGACAAACAGCTACTGCTCCACTTAACAAGGATGTGAAGCCCACAAAATTTAATGCAAAATGTAATGCTGTTTCTTTCAAAGTAAATTTGTAAGTCACCTTTGGTACCTGCTTTGAAATACTACACTCAAGGCTTCAGGTAGTGAGCAACTGAATCCTCTGTTTGTCAGACTGCTGTGTAAGGAAATAGAGTGCTGCTGCAGTTTTAACCAGCCCGACCTCTGGAGTTTGCATGCAATACACTTTTTTTTATTTTCTTCCCTTCAGTTTTGAGTAAAGATAAGATCTCTCAACCTCTCTGCCTGAGTTTTATTGTCTGTGCCTAATGGGTCCTGAAGTCTGACACTATAATTGAAATAAGAAGTCTTTACTTTGAGATAATGTTATATCCCTTTGTATGTTAAACAGCTGTATTCCAGAATCCTGGTCTTTGTCCTACTAATTCCTGTCAGAGGGAAAAGATGCATATATAGGAACTAATGCTATTTGGACAAGGGGGGTAGCTATATAAATTGCTTGCTTTTGTTCCCTACCAAGAGTATTTGCTAATTTCAGAGCCACAAGTCATGAGATGAGGAGGGGAAATAATTTAGTTTAGGAAGTTGTCTGAGGTATAACATTTATTCTCTTGTTTCTAGGGAGACTGTCAGACTCGTGAGGAAGCTGTTGCACTGGGTGTTGGACTCTGCAATAATGGTTTCATGCATCATGGTAATGCATTGATATCCCTCCCCACAGCCAATTAAAGGTGCTCTTTAGTCATACTAGCTGACAGTGTTTGCAAATCCCTTTTCTATATACTGTGCCATATATACTGACATGCAAACAACTCCTGACATCCCAGCAGGTCCATATAAAAACAACCTTTGAACTTAATGTAAAATGTCTAAGCTGAGTACTCTCCCAAGTAAATCCCCAGCTATGGTGAACACTGCAGTGATTAGATGAGCTAGAGGGGGATTATTTTTTTGCTGCATCCCATTGGCATCTGGCCAATGCATAAACTAAGTACTGAACTGAAATCTCACTCAAGAAATGTCCAGTACAAAGTAAAATTGCCTAATTCCTGCAGCTTGGACAAGTGTAATCCTTGAAGCTGAAGTTCTGAAGCTTCCAAATCTGAAGTAGCAAACTGCCAAGTTTAGGAATCAACCATCCTTAGTGCTGCTGCTGCTGAACTGAGAAAGAAAAGAAACCACAACTGTATTGGTATCAAATTGCAAAGTCCTCAGAGTATAACAGCATTTGTCCAATAAGTTATCAACATAAGTCATAAATAACACTTTCTGTCTGTTTGAGAGCAGAATATTTTAAGTAACTAATAAAGAATTGATGTAAGAATAATTGATTTTCATTGAAGAATTTGATCTCTTTTGAGTCCATGTTAACACTTGGCAGTCACAGCACAGTTTGGCAAGAAGTTCCTCAGCAAAGTATACATGAATGAAGAAGTAGTTCCTCGAGGTTCAAAGTTGTCACTTACACCTTTTATTTTGTGGCCTTCCAGGTCTCATACTTGAAAATACATTGAAGAACTCTATCATGCCTTCCAGAATTTTGTAGATCTCTTTTTCCTTTCAAACCATTTTTATTGAAAAGTCTTAAGCTGTTTAGCCGTCACTCTTTCCTTTAAAGAGATATTTTACTCCTCTTTCTTTCTTGTATGGTTTTACCATATTATTTTTTATATGGGACAGAAGCCCAAAATATTGAGTAGCATCTTTCTTCCAAAAGGATCATTTGCATTTTGTATGAAATATATTTGTCAGGGAAGTCAAACATGGTATCAGGAACTACTATGCACTGCAAAGAAAAGTATGCCCGTAAAATACAGTAGTAGCTTAAAAATATAGAGCTGAATAGTTTAGTGATGGGGATGCATCTGGTCTTTGGTCTATAAAGACAGGGGAAATACTTAGGATTTCCGTTAACTTTCTTTTTTTTGTTTCTGTTTTGTTTCTTGCTCTGTGTAAATGCTTGTATGTTTTTCATATATGTTGTTTCCAGTTCTGGAGAAAAGTGAATTTAAGGATGAATCCTTGTATTTCCGCTTTTATGCTGATGAAGAGATGGAAGGCACCAGTTCCAAGAGCAAACAATTACGTAATGACTTCAAGCTTGTGGAAAACATCCTGGGAAAGGGTCTTCTGGTAAGAAATATGTTAGTGTAAACTTTTATTTTTCTATGAAATTGGTATTATTTTGTGCTAGAGAATGAGAAGGAAAATAGTGAATAGAGTAGAATAAAAATTGGAACTACAGGTTAGCTAGACTTGTCTTTACTGCAAAAATACTAATTCTTCAACTATTTTGCTGCAGAACTCCAATTTCTGCAGTTAAACTCTTCTAGCTAGGCAGACTACACAACTTATTCAAGTAGCAAGACACATGAGTAAGTTGCAGGCTCCCTTCTGTAGCACATGACCAGACCTACTGCACTACCTGAAAGCTTACAGACACCCACGACAAATGCAAGTAAGTTCCTGCCTATTTCTGACAGGTCTCAAGAAAAGAGGAGTCTCACAAATATGACTGTTTCATCCATTTCACAGCCAGACCCATTTCTTCTCCTGTAAAGCCCTTGAGAGAGACATTCCGGAAGTGAGCTGGGACCAGGATGTTGTCTTAATAGCCCTGGAGTTTGCTGAGCATGTATCACAGTGTTAGTGTGGTGGAGGAGAAAGCAGTGAGCAGTACTATCTTGGGAGTGATCTGCCACAAAGTGTAAACACAGTTTAAGCACCATTATAGAGGCAGTAGATTCAGAGAGGAGTTAAACAACTGATCAAAACACAGATGTTTTGAGGCATCAAGTGATGTGAATATGCCCTGCATTGCTGGATCAAATATCCATCTTATTTTGTTTTACAGAAAACAGTTTCAAGAAAATATTGTTCTTTATGTTAATTCTTTTGCAACACTATTTTCTACCCATATCCCCTACCTCACTGAATGCCATTACAGTTCTTATGGTGCTTGGATTATTCTAATGCTGCTTTGCACTTGGTAGTATTTGGATTGTTCATGCTTTCTGTTTTGAGGCTTCAGGCCCATCTTTTTCTCCCTTTGAACAACAACAGAATGCAGGAGCAGGATAAAAGCTTGAGTCAGAAACTACAAAAACAGAATTGTTGGAAAAGATCCAGAGGTCCATTACATGGGAAAATTTTCCCTGTGGTTCACATGAACTTTACTGTCTCACTGTTGCCTTGGGAAACCAATCTGTGTTTGTCTCAATGGCAAGAAGTAATATTTAAATCACCACGACACCTCAGAATTGTTGCTCTATGCATCCTGTGCTGGAGACTGGAGTGTCAGACCAATAAGATTATTCTCCTGGAGAAGTGCTGGATAAAAGGCAGCAGTTGAAAGGTGTTACGCTTTGGGTGCTTTTTCCCCTGTGATTTGCAAAGCACTCAGCAATCAGTTGCACACTGAATGATGGGAACTGTCATTGTTCAGGTATTTTTAGTTCTCTTCCTTATCAAGACATGATTGAAGAAACAGATTGACTAGTATCTTCCATTTTTTTCTACCAGTTCGAGGTTATCTGTTAAACAGAAAATTCCAAAACCTAGCAACTGTATGTTAGTCTTGAAATGAGAGATTTAAAGCTGCTCGATTCTGTTTTCTGTTAGTGTAATGATAATTTATTAGGATTCACTAAAGGAACAGAGCAAACTGAAGCCTCTTAAGCTTCCCATTCTCCAAGTCCACCATAGGAAGTTTAATGGAGTTTCTTCAGTGCTGTTTTTTGAGAAATACTTCTTTTCCATGAAATCCTTGTTGGTTACTGCAACAAATCCTATCCATTCATCTAAGTTTGCTCTATCACAGGAGAGCTTGAAAACAGAAAACAACAGAAGCTTTGGAGAATATATCATTGGAAATATCAAGGGAAAACAGTGCTTTGTTTGAAATAATGCACTTCAAACAAAGTTTGATACACATTTATTTGTGCAATTGTTTCTTACTGAAGGACATAAATCTCGATGCACTGAAAAAATATACAACATTCTTTTATAGTTGAAAAAAATTTGGATTTTGGATTGATTCCAAGCATCGTGGCTTGGTTATTTCAGTACGCTGTGAACTTGTGATCAGCACATCTATTTGTCAGCCCAGGCCAACTGCAGTGCAAATTAAAGTTGGTATCAAACAAGGACAGATGCCCAAGGTAAATGGTACATAGACAGTGCTAGAGTCTGCAGAAGACTGATATACTGCAACATATCTTTATATGATATATTCATATATTTATCTGATCTCAAAAGAAAAGCATTTCAGTTGATTTCAAAGGTGATACCTGTGTACATTTTATGCAGCATTCCCAAAACCACCATGCTGAATTGGTGATCTGGACTCTAAGTCTAAATCTCAAGTTTCCAGACCTGGGCATTTTTCCAGGGCATCCAGTAGCTCCCAGTAGTGTGCTGCAGTAGTTACAGGAGAGTAGTTGCAGTGTAGTTGCAATTCACAGCCAGCGCTGTGTCATGTCCTGGAATTCAAGTCATTCAGGGGCCTGAGTACAGAAGTGTGACCAATGAAAGCCAGTAGTTTGAGCACAGAAGTCAGGGCTACCTGAGTTTTGGTTTAATTTCACGCTTGAACTCACTGTATGGTCTGGGCAGGACCTCAAGTTGTTCCATACCTCAGTCTACCATTCAAAAATTAGGATACAAAATCTCATCTATCTGCCTATCTGCAGGACTTCGCCACTGCTCATGTTCTCTTGATATTAGCATGACCACAAGCAAGATGTATGCAGTGCTAGAAGCTGCCCTGCAGCTGAGGATGAGCTGATAGCAAACTGCCTCACACCTGTGTCATCTTCATGCTCCTAGAAATCTTCCTTCATAAACAGTGAACATCTCCATGCCCCAAGCACTTTCTGACACCATAATTCTCCTCATACAGGAAAGGTACCACACTGCTAACTGCTGCTCTCATGACCCATGCGACAAAATGCTTTGTGAATGTAACAGACACAGGTGTGTCTTTGCATAGCTTTTCTTCTCCCCTCTTTTCCCTCCCATCTCTGCAGAAGTTCTCTCTGAATAGCTTCTGACTATGTTTGCCCTCTGTTTTTGATTAAAAAGGCTTATATCTCATATGGGTACCTTTTTTAATGTGGTTGTTTTTCAAGATTAAGCAGCTGCTTTCTTAATGTTCAAAAGAACCGATTGTATTTCAGGGGCATAGAAATAATTCTTGTAGTGGCAAGTTATTTAATTGGTTTAGACTCCTTAGGGATGAGTGGTAATCAGCTGGGGAATTGCAAGGTATTGCTATTTTTTAGCAGCGAATGAATCGTAGCCTTCTCCCAAGTATTGCATGTAGAATATTATCCATACTTTACATCTTCATAAGGATGCTCCTGGTACAGAAACATCAGTATACAGAATGTCAGATTTCTTTCTTTACAACATGGTGATAAAGCTCCAAATGTTGATGCATTTGGGGATTCTTAAATGTGTTTTGGTTCTTTGCTTTCAAACAATACATTTTGCAGTACTAAGAAACAGAGGAAGACAGGTTAGTAAAAATGCTAGCATACAGAAGGTATTCATGCATTTTAATGATAGCTGCATGCAAATGATCATGTAGACTTATGTAGCTGATGGATTCTTAAGTTTTGCAAATCAAAGCCTCTAAATTTTTAAATACATTTTTTGCTTACGCTTTCAAAGTCCAATCAAAGAAACTGAGCAGTTCTTTCAAATGCAAAATGAGAATTGGATGGTAAGGTATCCTAAAAAGTTTCTGTTCAATTCCAGACATGTAGTGCTGTAAGTACATGTTGGATTGGGTTGAAACTCATTACACCTGCAATACTAAAAATCTAACTGGTGGTGTACTCATCTTATTAACAGAGAGCTCTCCTTGTATTGAATGTACTTTAAAGAGCATTGTTTCTGAAAATATTTTCTTAGGAATATCAAAGAATGGCATTTATCTTTTTTACTTTTCTTTCTTTCCTTTTTGTCATTTAATCTAAATGTCCTCTAGAAGGATTTTTGCTTTGCAGGTCTTTTGTGTTAAGCACTATTTTAATGTGGCTGTAGGGCTCTTGCAAGAAAGGATGATTCTATTTCTTTAGGTTTTTTTCCTAAGGTTAAATCCTGAAAAAGGACAACATTTTAAGATGATTGACTTTAGTGGTTAATGGGCAGTATTCTGAGATAGCAGGAATCATCAGAATCAAGTAATTCTTCATAGTGCTTTTCCTAGTGGCATGCTAGATTATAGATAGCTTTATTTCTCCTCTCAACTCAATTCTGATTCATTGGATAGCTCTTAAATTTGTAGAATTAACTCACAGCAAGATGTTTATCCGCTAGAATTTCTATTTGTCCACTTACCAGAGGCCAGGCTTAGTTCATTTTTTAAAATGGTTAGTGGGTTATTAAGCTTTTTCCATTGTTAATAAACCACTAGAAAAGGATGGGTGAATGATATATTTGCCATAATTTGTATGATTTCAAAAAAATATCGATAAGGTTGGTCTGTGTGACCTCAGTGCAAATAAAAGGAAGCAGATTCCCAGAAGCAAGAACAGCAATCTTCTACCAACCATAAAGTGTACAGACTGAGCATGTTGCGTGAGTCTTGTATGTCTTCCTGCAGTGTTCTCTCTTACACATCACAACTGATGCGTAATGATTAAATCGAGCTGACCAACTCTTGTGATGTAGATTTATGTAGAATTATCTATAAGAAATAGGCATAAGATGCCCAATTTATGTAAAATGGATAGCAATGAGTAAGTCACTTCACTTCGGTCTGTAATTGTATTTACTAACAGAAAATACAGAATATTAATGAATTCTTGAAAGTTGAAATAGCTTACAAAAAATGAAGGGCTAGAATTTTAAACCAAAAGCAACTGAGTAATGAATCATGCATTTTTAGTGGGAGATTGATTAACTATTGGAACAAACCCTCACGGGGGTGGAATACATTCTTCACTTCTTAAAGACTGCAGATCATAGCTGGATAACTGCCAAGAAATTCTGCTTTAGTACACTAAGGGGATCAGTGCAGAAATAATAGATTAAATGTAATGGCTCGTGTTATGAAGGAGTTCAGACCAAATAACCCAATAGTCCCTTTTGACCTTAAGATCTGCAAGTTTATGTCAATCATGGCTTTAAATGAAAAGTCCAATTTCTGAACTTCATTCTTCAGCCTTTCAACTCACTCCATATTTATGAAGTGTTGCCTGGTGCTCTTTTTGTTTTTAAGATTTTACCTGAGGAGGATGACTATGGATTTGACATAGAAGAGAAAAACAAAGCAGTTGTGGTGAAGTCAGTTCGAAGAGGGTCTTCTGCAGAGGTAAGGCCTGATAATTGTAAATATTTTGGTTTTCCTAGCTAATAATGTTTCTGTGTTTTAAAAAGGTATAAAACTATCCTCTTAAAGTCTGTTTGTTTTAAAGGCAGCTAACAGAAAATTTGAAGTCTTCTACAATTCCTCTGGTAATAAACTGTTTGTGTAAATTACCAAGGGTTTTGGCATCTGTTAGTGACTTCCTTGCTGAATATTTCTCATAGATGACAGACAGCAACAGTATCTTTATGTGATGGTAGGATACCTCTGGTTCATAGAATCATAGAATGCCTGAAGTCAGAGGGGACCTTGAAGACCTTGGACTACCAACCAACCAAAGTTCCCAACTACCAGGTCAGGGTCCAGGGCCTCATCCAGCCTGGCCCATAATGCCTCCACGGTTGGGGCACCCATATCCTCTCTGGGCAACCTGTTCCAGCACCTCACCACCCTCTGAGTAAGAAATTTCTTCCTAACATCTAGCCTAAATCTCCCCTCTTAAAGCTATTGGCTTAAAGCCATTCCCTCTTGTACTGTCATTATCTGCTTGCACAAAAAGTTGATCTCCCTACTGCTTGTAAGCTCCCTTCTAGTACTGGAAGGCACAATTAGATCTCCCCAGAGCCTTCTATTTTCTAAGTTGAACAAGTCCAAATCATTCAACCTTTCGTCATAGAAGAGGTGCTCCAGCCCTTTGTGGCCCTATGAACCCTCTTCAACAGCTCCACATCCTTCCCATACTGGAGTCCCCAGGCACAGCACTCCAGATGGGCCTTACAAGTTAGTGGGGGACAATCACCTTCTTCTCTCACCACCCCTCTTTTGTTGCAGCCCAGGATGTGGAACCAGATAAATCTGATGAGAGAGGGCAAGTAATGTTGGCTGGGGTAGTGGAGATGTACAACAACAAACAGGTATATTTGAGTGGAAACTTTAGATTTGTGATTTTCTTTCCTTAAAACATATGCCCTAAATTCTCTCATGAGAATTACACCTGTAAAGACAAGACAGGAGACTAAATCACTTTGTGTGGCAGCACACAGAGGCAATATTTCCAAATAAAAGTCTGGAACAACCATTACAGGATTTGAATGTCTACAGTCATCTGTTGATCCCATCTTTAGGCTACAGGTAGGCCTGGATGACTGACCAAATGCAGACAGCTGACTGGAGCATGCTGATTTTAGCAAGTAGGGAATGTCAAACAGGAAGGGATTTTGAGCTGAAACTTAATGTGGACTTTTTTTTTTTTTTTTTTTTAATTTAATTATTAAATAACCTCAGTATTGCTAATTCTTATTTGTTTTGTGGTCACCACAGAAACTGATTCCACCCTTAAAATCAACATAGGTTGGCCAAAAATGTTATTAATTTAAACTTCCACTGTAAACCATTGCCTGATAGATAATCCTGCTGTCCTTGCTTTGGCAATCTGCCTGCGGAATATCCTTCAAATCTGCTTGTGTTTTAAAACAACAGAAGCACACAATTTTCTAAGGAATCTTTATCTTCCAAGACAAATTATTTGTGACCATAAGCCCATCTTTTCAACCTCAACATAAAATATTGCTCAATAAAAGAACTAAATCTGCATGTCTCTGAATTGGAGGCTCATTCTGGAAAGACCTGAAGTCTAATAGTAATGTATTTAATTATGATCTTGGGCTTTTTAATGGCTTTGTAATACCAGAAGGATATCCAGCATGTAATTCCGTGTGGTTCAGCAGCTGTAGGCCATTTACAGACCATATGCCTGCTGTCATACTTTTCAGGGACAAAAATTAAGACATACAGCTTTGCTTCACAGTGCCCACCACAGCGCATTATGTTCATTAGAACTGTCAGACTTTAGACCAGAGTACAATTCCAGATTCACCAACTGAACAAACCTATAGCTTGCACGGACTTATTAGAGATCAATGCATTGCTTTTCAGCTTGGCATTTTGATCTCCTAGTACACCAGGGTCAAAATTGTCATGCACAGGCTCTGGTGGCACACAGCACTGAACTTCATGCACATGCCACAGGTCCTTTTTGGTTTTAGATATGGCACATCTCATGCCAATCCCAAAATCATGTGCCTTCAGAAATACATTCCATAACCAGTCAGCATCTCCTCAGTTTGCAACTTACCTTCTTTCCTAACCTAGCTCACTTGTAGCTTAGTTACAGCTGGACTTCTTCCCTAGCTTTTAATCTTGGAGCTGGTTTATGAATTATATTCTATCAGAAGGAAACAACAGTAATAAAGATCATCCTTTTGGGAGGTGTAGTTGCTGTCTTACTGTGAACAGTCAAGTGAGGAGCAGATGTCTGCTGTTTGAACAGCATGTGTTCGAAGTGCAGCCACTTGGCCAGTGGCCATGCAGATGAATTGCAAAGAACAAGCTGGAAGCTAGGAATAATGCTGGTGTGTGGGAAAATACAGTGGCCTGGATCCAGGCAGCTGCATTGAGTTGTCATGAGGAGCATCCATTATCCATAAAGTGCAAGTGCTGTGACATCGCAGGTCTTTACTCTTAGACAGGTTGTCATTTTGTTATTAGCCTGCTTAGTTAAATCCTGATGGAGTAACAGATGTTTAGATTGAAGTTACTAGTTTGTAGGGATTCATATGGAGCTGTGTAAATTTACAGATCTACTATGATTATGTGTGCAGGTAGGTTTCCCATATGCACAAGCAGTAAGTTGGTAATATAAAGAGGTCATCCACTGCTAGAATGATTGCAGATATGCAAAGATTTTAGTTAGCTGCACGTACACTAAGTGTGTGAGCTACTCTGAGAAAATCAGACCTAAGCCATAATGACTTTAGAAATGTATAGTACAATTATTACTTTATAATAAACTCATCAGTGTAAGTAGTTGGATTTGATGATCGTAGGGTCTTTTCCAAGCTAAATGATTCTATGATTCTAAATGCAAATAGCATGAACATTTCCTCTGAATAATAAACTTTACAAAATTCTATTCTAAGCTAAAATGCCTATCTACTGCTATTTATACATGCTATCAGCTTTATAGAGCATTATGCACAAAAAGGAAAAAATGTTAAGTGTGGGTACACAAGAGGACGTTATGAACTGTAGGAAGCTTAGCAAGTAAACCAAGGAGAGCACTTTGTAGTTTTCCCCATTAATTTTGAGGGGAAGAAAAAAAAAAGTATAGGAAAGTGTAGATAAACTGATCTCTGATATATTTAGGAAAAGCCAAGCCATGTGTAGGCATTGTCAAAGTTTTTCCAGTCGTACACTTACAGATTTGGTTTTTTTCAGAGGTCAGAGTTACATATTTAAGAGATTTATGGAATACTGTTTAACTTCCTTTCTCCCAGTCAAGACATTTGCCAATGGCTTCCAGGCAGAACAGGGAAAGGGCTTGTCACATTTAGAAACAAGCCCAACTGCTGGACTCAGAAGTAAAGGGAAATAATACTAATCCACAAAGGGTTAATAGTTGAAGCCACAGAGTCATATTTATTTATATATTTTTACTTCACTAAAAGGAAGTTTGATATTTTCTTGATATCCTAACACCCAATGTAGGTGCTACTATTCACATCTTGCTGATATAGATCACAGAAAGGTTTATGTTTAGAGTATGTTTAGGGTTGTTGCCCAGCAGGCAGAACAGGGGATCTGGATTCTGTCATTGAATCTGTCTCTGACTAAAGTTAGATGAAAAAGTTAGGAATTAAAATGAAAACACTGTGTCCTTTTATTGTGATGAAGAGCAAGTACTTCACTTAAAGCATAGGCAGGATTATACTGCCACAGGTTGCATTTGCTTATGGTACTAGGTATAGATTGTTTTTGCATGGCTAGGGACCAAAAACAACTTGTTCTCCTGGGCTCAGCCTGTAGGCTGTAGGAAATCACACTTCTCTATCTCACTGGGTAACGCAGCTAGCCTCAAGTCTCCTATTAAGGAAACAAAAAAATGTGGCAGAAAAGTACAAAGCAAGATATATATATCTGCAATGGGTTTGTTGGCAAAATCTGTTTTTTTTTTTTGTAAATGCAGATGACTTTTAAGGATGAATGATGAAGGATTTGATGAACCAATACAATATATACAGTTTTTTGCAAGCCTTGGAACTGCCAATAGCAGTCAAACCTCTCTAAACACACCGTGGAGCCTGAAATTTCAGAGATACTATCAATGATCCAAAGTTTCTGTGGTGTTGGTTTCATTTGCAGATGGCTGGCCTGCAGGCAGGAAGGAAAATCTATTCCATCAATGAGGACTTAGTCTTCCTACGCCCGTTTACAGAAGTGGAAACCATTTTAAGCCAGTCCTTCTGCTCACGAAGGCCACTTAGGCTTCTGGTAGCCATCAAATCAAAAGAGTAAGTGCTAAGCAGGGGGGGTTATTTTTCAATTATTAAATATGTTTTCTACAGTCTGTAGTGAGAGCTGTGTAAACTCTTTCCAATAAGAGACTGTTCAACAGGAAAACAGGGAAATGACAGAAATGATTATAGTACAAAAGTCACAGATCGTTTTTGGTGATGAATCCCATGCATTTAGAAATGAGTTAGGATATATGTTCTGGACATAGCAGTTAACTTTTGGCCTATTTGTGCAAAAAAAACCCTGACCCATAAGGGCTGTCATCTGTCACAGATATAAAACATCTCAGACCCTAATACATGTTCAAGCAAAAGTAATTTCCACTCTGTTGAAGCTTGCCTTACTTTTGGATAACTAACTCTATCAGCCCATACCATTTTCAGTCCATTATGGTACTTTATTATGAGGCATGATTCTGTTAATATCTTTGACATTGCTAAATTTTGTAACCCCCTAATTTCCTATGACATTGAACCAGTTATCACTTGATGCTGGATTCTTGTCTGTTTATTTTTGTTGCAGAGATCCTCAGCTGCTCTAAGTCAGTACAGCTGTACTGATGTTTCCCTGGAAATGGAAATAAATACGGATATGAGTACTATAGAAAGTTTCTGTCCTGCATTACTTGCTTAAAAATTAATAAACTTGCAACTCTCAAATTTTAATTAAGAAAGAGAATCTCCCATCTGCCTTAGAGAATGTAGATGTAGTCAGTGATTTCTTCAAGTCCCTTTATTTTTTATTTATTTGTAAACTATTTGGGTGCTTTCCTCTATCCAAAGCTCAGTTGTGAATGCCAAAGAAAAATGCTTTTAAAATTGCCTAGAGCTCTAACAACTTAACTTAAAATGTTGTTTTCTCCTCCTCTTGATCTACCTGCAGGATCATTAAAATCCCAGATTGTCCTGAAGCACTTTGCTTTCAGATACGGGGAGCAGCACCACCATATGTTCATGCAGTAGGAAGAGGTAAGTAGGAAGATTGTGGTATAAAAATAATTAAGCTGGAGTACATATATGTTATATAAGAGTATGTACATATACACCAAGCATGGTGCAAGTTTCTTTTTCTCCCAGCACTACAGAAATTCTGAAGGATAGACACATTTGTCTCATACAACTAAATTCTCCTCAAATAAGGACTTAGCAAAAGCCTTGAAAAGACAGCATTCAGCTGTTTTTCCTTCTTGCTGTTCTTTACCAGAAACCCTTTCCAAGCTTTTCAGTTTTCTCTTCCATAGTCAGAGTCATAGGCTTTTCTGCCTAACTCCCCTGCTGTTGTTTTTATCAGGTTCTGAGGCTGCAGCTGTAGGCCTTCATCCAGGACAATGCATTTTGAAAGTGAATGGGAGTAATGCATCACATGGAAATTATATGGATGTTCTGGAGCACTTTACAGCATACAGGACCAAACAACAGGAAGTGCTGGTACGAATACAAAACCTCAAAGTACATTAATTCCTCCTTTTCTTCAGTGTTTTTATACTCTATAAACGTTCATAAGAGCAACTTACACAAGCCTCTTTCAACTTGCTCCCATGCCAAAGTCCTAGTGTAACCAAGGGAGCTGATTACAGTAAATCCCAGCTGTGTATAGTTGGAAAAGCATGTACCAATAGCATGTGTGTCAGTTCATGCACTACTAAACATTATTAGCTGCTTACTAAGACTAGAAGTGCACCCAGATACTGATTTTCTAGTCTCTGCAATTCAAGTACTGGGATAATGTTAATATTTCAGCCAGTGTAGAAGATAAAAATTAACTGGCAGCTAGATTAGTCTTTGTAGTCCAGCCCTATGGACACTGAACATTTTTTACTGGGGTCATAATTTCTTGCAAGGGATTGTACCAGTGGGTGTACAGAACACATGAAGATGCTGAGGAGGATAGAGTTCAGCAAGCAGCATCCAGTGCATATCTGAATGGCAGTCATCCAGGGTCCAACAAAGAAGACACTTCACTGACAGGAGATGAAGATTTGGATCCACTTCAAAATATCCACCAGGAATCAGGTAAAGATTTTAAATAGGAGAAGGAAACCTAGGGAAGATTTAGGGGCTTAGAAAAGGAAAACTGCAGTAGAAATATAAAGTGTTATGATCAGTCCTGAATATCTCTTGTGCTAGTAAAGCTTTGTAATAAAATGAGGTCTGTCAGAGGAAGTGCTCTTATCTTGCAGTTTATTTAGTAGAATGAAAAAAGAGATACACATAGAAATCATACCCCTGCAACTCTCTGGAGTTATGGGCTCTTTCCTGAACAGAAAATATGATTTTTAGGATCACTAAGTGAATTCTTAGATGTTTGTTTCCAGCAAGTGCCTTAGAGAATCTCTATAATACGTAGCAATGTCATTTGTTATGTAAGTAGAGAAAAAAATATGTTGTTTGTCTGCTTTTTATTAGCTGTTATAGCCCAAGTCCCACAGCAAATGACATAGGGTCTTGCATGCTCGGGTAGGTAATGATTTGAGTTATTTTGTTGACTGCGTTTGTATCAAGCCATATACCAGAATCACACAGTGATTCTGCTATGTCAGCATACTCCCCACCAGAAAACCATTCTCATGGCTGAAGGCCCTCTCTTGTGGCAAGATATTCAATAAAAGGCCTGAAGGAGACATCAACTGTCCTTTGAAAATCTAAGTAGGAGACAAAAAACAGTTTAAAATAATGATCAAGGAGGTTCCTCCTGTGAGATGTCTGGACTCTATTTTACGTGTTAGCTCTGTAGTTTCTACTATAGGCTATTAAAAAAAAAAGGTATATATTCTTATTAGAACCTGTAAAAAAAAATGCAAGCAAAGCTGTGTGCACAAGTCCAGGCACAATTTAGAAGCAGATATAGATAACCTATGTTATTTGGCTGAATAAGATGTGTTTACACACTGCTAGATGTAGGATGCTAACGATTCAGGCTTGAGGTACTGCCTTTGTTTTTGATATTTTGATACTTTTCAGTTTGCTGGATGCCATAAAAGTAATCACATCTCATCCCTTGTCTTCACAAAAGCCAGTTTTTGAAATGGAATAGTTCAGCATGTTTAGAACCATTTGGTAGCCCTTGCAAGCTAGAAATTTATGGGCAGTAGCAGCTTGAGGGGAAGGTCTGCAAGTAGCTCCATTTTAACTTCATTTACATAATTTTGATCTGGAGTGAGTTTTCAGAGCGTGTTACCACTGTGTCAGCAAGAGGTGGGGGGGAACATATTTCTTCCAGCTTGGAAAAGTAGATGGTAGGGGAGAATACTGAAGCCAGATCCGCTCCAAAGGTCTGAGCCTGGATTCTCTGAATGCCACTGGCAACTTTTCCAAGAACATCTCTGCGAATCCCAGGTAAGGACTGCTGAGGCTGGTAGTCTGAAGGCCAAACAGTGCAGTTTGGCATTGCAACAGCAGGAGGGGTGCTTCTAAAGGCAAGGGAGCAGTCCTCTGGCGGATCTCAATTTGATTAAAATTTAAATTTCTTCTGTGATGACAATGTTATTGCCCTTATTTGAAAATGTCATCTCCTCACCCTTTCTCTGCCCTACCATCTCAGTCTTACTGTTGTACAGAAAGTACATCTGGAACACTTAATAGAATCATAGAATGGCCTTGGTTGAAAAGGACCTCAAAGATCACCTAGTTTCCTAAAACTTCAACAGAAAAGTGGCATTCTTCCAGAGGGTTGTTAGAAACAACAAGGCTCTAAGATTAACATACTTCCCTTTGAAAGCTTCTGTGAAGGACTATGTATGTGAATGCAGAACAGAACTAAAATGGTGTTCTGTGCATGGATGTGCATGTGCGCACTTGGAAGAACAGCAGAATCTGAACTGGAGCATGTGGATTGTCAAAAACTCTCTTGTAGTGGCCAACAGCAAATGTTTTCTTCACAATACCCTCCCAGACTCCTCGAGCCAGAAGTTGTATCTTTGTGTCTTTGCATTTAATACCTCTCATCAGATTTTTCTTTCCTCTGCATGCCTGAATTCATGTGTGCTGCTGAACGCCTCTAATGGCTTATTTTGTTTCCAGCCCAGATACAACAGACTGTCAGCTCTCCACTGATAAGTGGTGAAGAAACACCTCTCATTAGCCTGACTGTGGATAACACTCACCTGGAGCATGGGGTGGTATATGAATATGTCAGCAGTGCAGGAATCAAATCCTTTGTCCTAGAGAAAATTGTGGAACCAAAAGGTTGCTTCTGTCTCACAGCAAAGGTACCTGACCAACATACATGGCCAGCTTCATTCCTGAACAGAACTGGGAAGAGAATAATATGGGCATTTCTCTATAATTGTCTTGTTACTTCAGATGAGGTAGCATGCAACTGTCTCAACTCTGCCTGGAGTTTTCCTCATTAAAATGGACTGACTCAAACTAGCTCTCATTTGTTGTGGGCAAGTGAGCAAAATCTTCCTAGGTTTCAGCTGTTGAGGGAGAGATAGGAGAGTCTCTCTGGAACTGAGAGGCGTTGGAATTCTTTCTATTTTCTGACAGGTGATGTACTTTTTGATGATACTGAAGATTAATTTCTTCAGGCAAGAATTTCCTTTACTCTTAAAAAAAAAATAAAAAATCAAGGTTTTTTTCTTTTCCCCATCTGATGGACTGGATGGATCACTGAAAGAATGAGATAGAAACATAGCTACTGGAAAACAACAGTGCCATGTATTTGGATCCATCTATGCACAATGATGAGATAATAGTAAATGTTTCTATCACATCCCAGTGACATTACTGTTAAGCTCAATGAAAGTCAAAGTGTGCCAGAGCTAAATTACCTTGGCAGTGAGCAGTGAATATCTTCAGCAATTTGTTGTTCTGAAAGTTTCTGAGAAATGTTTTTTTGTCTGAGGAGTAGACAGGCTAATGGCTCTCAGGTGGTTATAACAGCAACTTGTTCTGAAGACAACCTTTCTCAAGCGTGACATTATACAGGATTTACCAGTAATTTGGTGGAATTTTGTCAAGTCATTTGTCAATAATTCTGTCTTTTTGTTTAGATTTTAGAGGCCTTTGCTGCAGAAGACAACCACTTTGTAAGGAATTGCAAAAGGCTTATATCCCTAAGCAGTGCTGTGTCCACCATGCCCCAGTATGAGTTCCGGCAGATCTGTGACACTAAGCTGGAAAGCATTAGCAGGCGGCTTGCAAACTACCAAGAGGTACAGCCCTACTAGTTACTGAAGCCTCAAGACTGTTCCTCCTAGCGATAACTGGGTTTTGATTGTCTTTATTAATGGATTCAAACAGCTTTACAGTAGCATGATAACAGCAGTATGTGTTACTCGAATGCAAGTTCCGAGGAAAAAGAACTTAACCTTAAATTGCTCCTTTCAGCTTGTCAGAGCTGTGAGTTGGAAAATATTATTGCAGGCTCATCTCCACCACGTCACTGTATAAATGTGGCCACAACAGGACGATCAATGTTTGATTTGTAGAATTAAGATGAGCATATGTACAGTATATCAAAGTGTAAAGAAACTAAGTGTGGTCTTCTGTGCAGTTACCTGAGCTGGTTGAAAAGAGTGCCCTAGAAAGTACTGCTAATTGCTTTCATTTGCTGTTTATGAGCATTTTATGGGGAACGTGCTGTTCAGCTGCAGCAGAATCATATGATTCTGAATAAGAAGCAGGAAGAGAAGAGGATTATCTACATTGCCTCATATATATATATATTTTTTTTTTTTGCAAATGAAATAGCATATCCTTGCTTTATTTCTGCCAGTTTGCAGATGGATTAAAGACAAAGGTGAGCCCAGCCTTCAAACAAGCCATCATGGAACCACATTCCCTCAACAGCATGGATTTCTGCCCCACCAACTGCCATATTAACCTCATGGAGGTGTCATACCCCAAAAACACTACCTCAGCAGGGAGGTCGTTCAGCATTCGCATTGGACGAAAACCTTCTATTATTGGTCTTGATCCAGAACAAGGTATTCAACTTTCAAGTCATACTGATTTTTATTTGCATAGAAAGTTGCATCTTTACACTGCTCAGTGAAGTCAAAATTAGTTCCAAAGAAACAAAGTCTTGCCATTACCCTTGTTTTCTCTTCAAAATTTTATAGTAAAACGATTATTGCTTGTGCAATAGCAATAGCAGTGCTAGAAAAGGTTCTATGCTGTGAAGAGAGGCTACCTTCAGGCTGAAAACTTGTTCAATGAGATATTTTCTTTTCTGATTAGTAAATAAATTCCTTATCTTGGAGCTGGAAGTCTCTACTCTGTCCAAGGGGATGTACTTCTTGAAAAGTAGCTGCTTCACAGCGTTTATCCTGCAACTTGAATACCTGAGTTCCAACATTTCCTCATCATAGTACCTCATAATGTGCATCTGATTCACTGTCTAACAAAGTCAGAGTTCAGGAATGTTTGGAAAAGATACAGTGAATTGTAGTCTAACCAATCTACTGAAGAATATATTGCTTTTATTCAAAATGAATCAATAAAGAAGCCCACTTAGTTGAAGATATTAAAATTCCATGGTATTTCAAATATAGCACCAAAATTGTCAGCATTTTAAAAAGAAAACATATTTTATCTTCTGTAATTACATCATCCTATGTCTTGATGTATGTATGTCTTTATACATATGTGTGTGTGTTATGTGTTTTTAATTTAATAATAAATGTATTATTATATTTAATAATAACACAGACCAACTGCCAAGAGGTTGAATTCATTAACAACAAATGCATTTAGATACTCAAATGGGCAAAATGGATAGTTTATGAGTGCTGTCATTGCTCCCATAATTTAACCTGTCTCTGGACTGTACTAGATTCAAAACACCTAGTTGGTATGACAGGGACAATGAAAAATAATAACAAAAGATTTTCTAATGGAATATAATTATATAAAATAATCATGTGACATTTTTATTTTCGTTTTAAATTCTACCTATCCTAAACTAGCATTTGGATTGTGAAGATTCATGAGAGCCATACTAACTAGACTCTTTAACGTTTAGCAGGTACCGTAAATCCAGTCTCGTATACTCAACATTGCATCACCACTATGGCTGCACCATCCTGGAGATGTCTGACCCCAGAAGATGGAGATCTCGATGGTAGTTTTGGCCAGCAGAATGGAGGAATAAGTCAGGAAGAAAGAGGACTCAGTTTTCTGCTCAAACAGGAAGATCGAGAGATACAGGACTCATACTTGCATCTTTTTAACAAACTTGACATTGCAGTGAAGGAAATGAAGCAATACGTCGTTCAGATAAATAAGTAAGTAAAGAATCCAATATGCACTGTGAAGAGCAAATCTGATTAGAAGGGAGATGTTAACCCCAGAAACCTCATTATCAGCCCCTACTCTTTTATTACATTTGCATTACAGCTCATTGACTATTATGAAGTGTCAAACCTATCCCACGCAGATCTACCCCTATGTTCACTATCGCCCTTTGCACCTAAAAGTCTCCCTGAATTCAACAGCCACTATTTTGCTTAATGTATACTATATTAGCAGGTAAGAGTGTTTTGTGTGCCAGAGGTTTTGGACCTCTGTATAGACAGGGTGCCTCACCTTGAGGTTTTGTCTGACATAAGGCAGACCAAATAAACTTGTGATTTCCAGCAGCTTTCTCTTTTAAACTTGTTTTCCTTTTCCTTTTTTCTTTTCATCATCACAGGTCTCCTAGAAATGGTACTTAAGGATTTGAATAGTTGGTCTGTGTATTGGACATAACTGGAAGGGATTTGCTAGCAGGTGCTGCAGGAGTGATTGCTGTGACATGAGGCCACAGCTGCTTTCATTAACAAAAGAAAAGAGCCCATCATGCACCAAAAACTTAAACTGATCAGAAAGCATGTAGTGCCTTGGCTCAAACACATTTAAGAAAGAACAAGAGCTGCTGGGAGAGAACCTGTGAGCACAAGCACTTCCCCAGGAGAGAAATCCAGTGCCTGGGGTGGAGAAATTGCAGACTTTGTTGAATTAAAAACAGAGCCCTTTCAGGCTGCATTGTTACAACAATTAAATTGTCCCTTGTGGAGATAAGGTTCCTGCAGAAACAGGAGTTTTTGTGAATTGAGACAAACAGATTTCAGTGAACCGCTTTTAGAGTTCACGATTTTACATAGCTATAGTCCATGTACAAATACTGGCAAGGTTGTCTTTGATTTCACATAGCTGAATTCTGGTCATAGCCATTATATCTCATTTGTGAAACTGTCCACCAGTTCCTGACAGCCACATATTTTACCTCTGCAGACTTCTGTCCACCATAACAGAACCTACAGAAGGTGGTGCCTGTGAGCCACCATCCACTGAGGAGTCGTCTCCACCTTCTCTGGGAACAGAAGAGAGTGATCCTGACAAAGCTGAGCATGGTGGCATCAAGAAGGTCTGTTTCAAGGTTTCTGAGGAGGACCAGGAAGACTCTGGACATGACACAATGAGCTTCAGAGACTCCTACAGGTTAGTCTGAAAAAACGTTTTATGCCAAAATACCAACTAATGTTAAAATACCAGCACTTCTAGAATATTAACAAAAACATAACAAAATGAAGTAAATAAATCTAGCTTGACTTTCCCCTTTTATATCATATAGCTGTAAACTTCAGAAGCTTCAGAGTTTTCAGCCTGATAATAGCTGCTATTATTATTGTTTTTTCCATTCAATTCTGCAAACAATTTTCCCAGAAATCCAAGACACTGAGAAACAGAAATGGGCTTTTTTTTTATTTTTAATTCTTAATGGGCCTCTGAAACCACAAGTGCAAATGTTTATTCAGGTGTCTTGAAATCTTGTTTTGGGACACAAGTGACTACTGCTTCTCCTGGAATATTTGCTACTGAAGGAAATTTCACACACTCCAACTCTGTCTTTCTTGGAAGGTAACTTTTGAAAAGTTTAGTTCACAAAAAATGGAACAAGTTGCAATCGTGTCTGACCATTGCAATTTTACATCCTTAATAGGTCATTTCTACATTAATTGGAAGGCCATAGGACTTCTCCTATGCAAAGAAGTAAAAATACCTTATAGTGAGTTTGCAGGATTTAGAATAACCTGAATAAATGATACTTTTTAGCTAATTCCATGCTACTACAGGCATGACTCTTTACTACGTGCTGGTTTTCTGTAATACTGCAAGTGGTACCACGTGGTATTCTTACAGGTCTGCAAAAATGACAGAATCAGAATAGTTTACATTGCAGCGAACATCTGGAGTCCTCATGGTCCAATCTCTCCATCAGAAAAGGCCAAAGCAGGTAGTCTGCACAGGGTCTGGCCCAGCTGAATACAAGACAGCAAATATCCAGTCAGTAAAGGATCAGAACTGGCACTTAGAATATTGAGATCTGCAGTATCTACTTCTGGTGCTAGACTTAAGTCTGCACACGTGCTCAAGCGCTGCTTTATTGAAATGTGAAGTATTTCTCTCATTGTTGATAGGAATCCCATGAACAGCTTGGTTTAAATGATTTCTATAAATGCAGATAATCGATCCTGTGTAACAAAGTGACATTAAGAACAGTGCCTGTGGATCTGTCACTTGTTCCAAAGTTTTACACGTAAATGAAAATTGAGAAAGATTATTCTGTTCTGTCTTTATTAGCCCATTATGTGTATATTACAGGTAGCAGTTATCCAATAGAGAACAAAGTGTGTTTTTATCATTTCGATCTGAAAACTACTGAGGAACTACAAAAATAAACAAATTGCAAATAAGAAAATATTTTGTTTGCAATAGTAGTACCTTATGAGGATCACAAGTCACATTTCATAAGGGCTTATATTGTGATATAGATGCTATAAACTATTTTTTTCTTAGAAAAAAAAACGGTATCTTTGGCAATAGGTTTAAGAAAGGACAGGCAAGAATCCATATTAGGGTTCTTTCAATTGCTCTTACTCTTTTGTCTCACCTTAGTCTAAAATAAAGTAGAGGAAAAGACACTGTGGAGAATTTTGTGGATTTTATTTTTGGTTTGTGCCATTAAAAACACTGTGTCATTTAACTGGAGGGGGCAGACTGACATCCATTGATTTTCTGATCACCTTCAGTAAGTTATAGTTAGTATAAACTGAACTGAAATGATTCTTGCTGCAACTTTTCATGTATGCATCAGCCAGCAGTGGTGTGAAAGCAACTGGAGTGACTCTTCTGCTTCCTTAGGCATTTGCGGGTCTGCCATGCTTGGTATTCCAGTGGTACAGATGCCTTAAATTTCCTCTCCCATCTTGAGTAGCTTCCATTTATGCTGTTATTGTGATATCCTTAGAGCTGGCAACAAACGTTGCATGTAATTAGGTCTTCTTTTCCATATGCATACGAGAATTTGACTTGGGGATTAGTGTAAATGATAGTTTATCATAGGCCAGGAGCTCCTTTGCTTCAGGCTGGGAGCATCAGTCACCTACTTTGCTTTTCTTTCTAGTGAATGTAACAGCAACCGGGATTCAGTGTTGTCTTACACCAGTGTACGGAGTAATAGCTCTTACTTGGGCAGTGATGAGATGGGATCAGGTGAGTACATGCCTAGGTAACATGCATATTTTCTCATAGCAGACCTTTTAGTGGGGGTGATAACTCTTTGCTGATTATAAGCAAATGCATGTTTCAATTGCAAATGTGGTTCCTTCAAACTAATCAAAAGAATATGAAAAGATCAAGATTTGTTCTTTTTCTAACAAACCACAGGAAATTTGGAGTATGGAAGAACTATTAATTCTTTGTATTATGTGAAAGAAGTATGAGCATTTGAAATTTGAGATAAAGCAGTGATCAATTTTTACCCACTGCAGTGTGAGGATGTGCTAGTATCATTTCTGGCCTCATCACAGCTTACGCTGATGAGACAGTTAAAAACTTATCTTTGTTTTCTTAGGAGATGAGCTTCCCAGTGACATGAGGATTCCTTTAGATAAACAAGACAAACTTCATGGCTGTCTGGAGCATCTTTTTAACCAGGTACAAAAAGGGTTTCATTGTTACAAAGAATTGCTTTCTCTTTATCAGTGTCAACACAGGAATTTCTAAGTATCAGATTGTTTAATGAAATCATGTTCTGAGGGAAGGAAGCTGGAAGCATATTGTATGGCAGTTTTATCAAACAGTTTTGTCAACATTCAAGTTGCCTTGCGTGATATAAGCAATGTTGAGCTGGTTTGTATGAAGCATTAAAGAGAAAAAAGCTTTGATGAAAAGGAGAAAATAAGATGAACAAAATGCACAATCCTGATGAATCACACCTCTAAATCTGAGGAGAGCTCTCACAAGTTCAGTCTACAGATGTCTTTATAGATGGCCAGCACCAGAGAATTGTTTTGCAGTGGGTTTTATCACATCAGCATGCGGCTCGCTCTTTGTGTAGAACATCATTCAGTGCGAGGCTCTCAAGGGTAATTCATGGTTAGAAAGTCTTAATAATATTTATTAACAAAGAGAAACTCATTCAAAAATATTAATGCTGTAATGGCTTTTGCATTTTTCCAGAAGATTTCCATTCAGATTTTTTTCCACAAGTCTAACATGGAAACTATTTTGATTGTAGGTTGATGCAATTAATGCACTTCTAAAAGGACCAGCAATAACTAAAGCCTTTGAAGAAACCAAGCACTTTCCAATGGACCACAGTTTGCAAGGTAAGGAAGAAGGCTGACTGTATTTAAAAATGTGATTTTCTGGGACTTAAGAGATTACCATGAATGCACACACGCCATGTTGCCACACAGCGTTATGTAACTGTGCAGTCTGAACAGTTGTACATTAGAAGTTGTGTATTACTGATGATCCTTGTGGGTTCCTTCCAGCTCAGGGTACTCAGTGACTCTAAAGGCAGGTCCCATGTCTGATCACTGAAATTCTGCACAAGTTCTTTTTAAAACACACAGAACACTTTTCTCTTATATGCTACTGAATCCTTACAGCATTTTCACAGGTGTCCAGATCCATCCTTTGACGTGAGCACACAGATATGTACCTCAAAAGTACAAGGTACAGTTATGTCAGATTCAGGGTGAACACTGATTAGCTGGTGAGGGACTGACTGTAGATATGAGGCACCAAAAGGTTCTGCCTGAGTTTGCTTAATGACTTCTGCTTTTCTTCAGAGATGGGTAATTGCCAGAGTAAACTCCATCCTCACATGTCACTTATTTTGAAAACTGATTCCCATAGAGAGCAAACAAATGATACCATGTTTTCTTTTTCTTCAGGGAGCATGTTTAGGACCTTTGTCTTAACGGTTTAGGGGCCCAGGATGTGGTTTCTTCTCTCACTGAAATACCAAAGCTTTATTTTCTGAACATTTGCTGCATTTCCTTTCCCACTTGAAATCTGGACTGTTTCCTACTACTTCTAATATACTTCAGGTGCTGCAGTTCTGGGCCTCCCAACCTTGACAAGTTCTATTTTTAAGTCACAGTGGGAAAATCTAGAGGAGGTTTCTTTGTGTTTTTTTTTTTCTTTTTTTTCCTGATTCCAGAAATAGACCATGCAAAGTTCTGTTACATGAACTCATCTTCACAAACACATTCACATCTACGTTGATTATTTGTTAGTCTTTCAGTGCACTGTTGGAATAAAGTGAGGAAATCACAGACACCCTGTGTTCACTTCCTTTATTTTATTTCACTTAAATGGAGTCTAATTTATTACAGCTAGATTAATTAGACTGAGAGGGTCTTTTAGTTAACTGAAGTTAACTGATGATTGCACATTCATTACACTAATGAGCACAAAAGCACTGCTTACATTTGGAATCCCCAGACCAAATGTCTCTTCAATTGCTCCTGCAGACACCTTTCAGTGACAAATGTAAATTTGAATGCTTGTCCTGTTTCTGTTTGGTGCAGTTATTTGGCACCATTTTTCTGTTTGCTTACAGATTTTATCGCCAGCAGTGGGCTTTATAGCTTAGCTAAGTCATGAAGAATAGATTCTCCACTCTGTAATTAAACAATTAGCTGCCATCAGGTGAAAGAAAGCAGAATAGTTCCCAACTTCTCATCAGTGTTGTGGGATGCAACAGCTGCAGCCAAAAGGCTGATCTGATTCTGCACAGCCACAGAAACTTTAGATATATTTAGATATTTAGATACACAGCAGGCAGCTGTATCATATATGAACGTCAGAGAGAACAGAAGGTAATGATGTCAGATATGAGTCGCACAAGGCTCTTACCATGCACATCACCCACATATATGACTTCTAGCCTGTGATCCTGCAAACAATGCTAGGAGACTGCTGATTATAGGATTATAGGAATATTCTTTTTTTTCCTTCTCCTTCTGCATTGTCTATTTAAGACCCTCTTTCATTCACAACTGTTGCTATTGATAGTATGTATCTCTGCTTGCATCTGTATGCGCATTTTGAATCAAAAACCACTCTACATTGCACTTCCTTACTGCCTAACAAACTCATTTTCTTCCTAGAATTTAAACAGAAGGAAGAAACCACAGTGAGGTGCCGGAATAATATTCAAGCCAGCATTCAAGAAGATCCATGGAACCTTCCATTGCGCATCAAAAACCTCGTTGAAATCATACAAAAATACGTGGAAGGTCTGTAAATGGGGTAAAGATTGCTATCGGTTTCAGAGGGAAAGGATAGCTCTGATCTAATCGAGTCCAGCAGTTCAATTTCTCATTTTTATGTCTATTTGTGATAAGGCTGTGCTGCACTCTAGGGAAAACAGGTCAAATTGTCCTAACCCACTGTAGTCAGGTTGGGGTGGAATAGACTAGCTAAATCTGATATTTACACTCCAGTGCAGAGCACTGGGAAAAGTTTCTTCATTAAGTATTAATCTGCATGTACAATTTGTTTCCAATAATTCACAGTAGTTAGTAGAGCACTTAGCTTGTAAAATTCTTTCTGTATGATTAAAATGCCCGTGTGAGTAAGAACTATGATAGTACAGAGGAATAACCATGCAGGGGGTGAGGAGAGGCAAGAATTGTGGAGAATGAGGAGACTGTCAATCCAATAGAGTAAAATCTATATTGCCATCATGTTGACTTCTTTCCTTCTCTTCACTGTTTTAGATGGGAAGAATCAACTGCTTTTGGCCTTGTTAAAATGCACAGGTAAGGTGTTTCAATTTCTTGCAACAAAGACTGTACACACACGTCCCTAACAGAGATTTATGCGACTCCATGTGCATACCTCTGAGTGTTATTTCCTGAGCATTTAGCTTTAGCCTTGGCATTTTAAGCTCACATTTCTTGTGCTCTGCATCTGGGACAGCCTTTTCATGCATCTGACATCTATGCTTCAGTTTGTGTTGCTTCAATTCCATGTAGGCTGCTGTGTCTCCTGGCTAGTCATTGATGTTGCACAAGCGCTGTTTTTCTGTCTTTTTTTTCTTTTGTACAACTCTCACTCCCAGATGGCCTTTACTGTTTCCTTCTGTGGTGAAAACATGCAGCAAAAATGAGACGTTGCACAACTTTCTGTGAGAACACAGACACTGACATCTTTCCAAACGGAGCAGGCAAGTTAGGGATTTAAGAATGTGTATATTAAAATCATAGCTAGGAGCAGACTAAAAACCTAAGTGTGGAGACAGCACATAAATACACTGTGAATGGATATTGTTATCTGCTGCTGTGCACTAAACTTCGTACTTGTAGATCAAATGACAGGCCTTTCCTAGGAGTGAATGTATAGTCTCCTATTGTGATTGAAACTGTACTTGGTGTATTTTTGTTTGCAAATGAGGTAATACATGACTGAAATAGGATGTCATTAATTTGCTGTGCCAGCTAGATTCTCAAGTTCTCATAGAGTGAAAATGGTAAATGAGTATGGCTCTGTTGCCTCTGCTCCTGCCAGGGCTGGTCCATGAGTCTGTCAAAACCTGCCTGCAGTGTCAGCTTAGCATCCGTAAAGGCTGTTTTTTTAATGACAACAGATGTAATGACTTCATAAGTGTCTACCTCTGCCCTATCTCCTGCAGCATTTTCCCTAATATCTTCTGGAAAGAATGGGGCAGCAGATGGCACTGAAGAGGTTATGCCAGCTTTGTGGAAACTGGCTTTTCCCTAGCTCTGAGGACAGACGCTTCTGTGCTCTCTCTGCCTTACTTTGGCAGTACAGAGGAGTACTGCTGGAAGGACTGGTTGCCTTCAGATTGAAGATATGGCCCTGCGCCTGGAGTGTATCAGTGAGGATACCATGCTCAGTGCCTACAGAAACTTTAAAAACTCAAATCTTCTGAATGGTGTCTTCAGCTTCTTTCTCTGTGGAACACTGCCTTGGCAATGACAGACTGCTGTACTGTTGAAGGAGCCCAGGGTGCCTGGGAAGGAGCTCCTCTCTTATTCATGTTTGTCTTTGGCCTGCAATCCCCTTAACTGTGACGAGGTTGCTTGGACCAGAATGTGGCTGCCTGGCAGCCGGCCTGGAAGCAAAATCCTCCCAAGAAACAGAAACCAATTGGTACCCTATGGGCAGGCCCAGTTAAAGTATTAAGCATCTGGGGAGACCATGAAATACAGGTAGATGAGGGGAAGATGAATCTCTAACAGCCCAGAAGAGAAGCAGTGGCAGAGATCCTCTTTCATTAATTCTCTTGCTTCTTTAAACATAAAAAGAAGGGAATCAGTCCAGATATGGCACGAAGGAGTTAGAGCTCTTCCCAGAAGAAGGAGCATGCAGATGGCAAACGTAAAACAAAGAGTCAAGTGGCCTAGAAAATTTTGGCAAAATTTTCCCAGCAATGCTCTTTTTATTTCTACACCCAGGTCACACAGCAAGATGTTATCTGTTACAACTGTGTAAAGCTACAGCAGAAGCTAAATATCTCATACATACATAGAAACTGCCTCCTTGGCAGTGAGATAAAAGAAGTATTCTCATGCCTTGTTTGTGTGTCTCTCCTTCTCTTGCAGATACTGAACTACAGCTGAGGCGAGATTCCATCTTCTGCCAATCTCTTGTGGCTGCTATTTGCACCTTTTCAGAGCAGTTACTGGCTGCTCTCAACTATCGATACAACAACAATGGGGAATATGAAGAGAGCAGCAGAGACGCCAGTAGAAAATGGCTGGAACAGATAGCAGCCACTGGTGTTTTATTAAACTACCAGTCCCTGCTCTCCCCTACTGTGGTAAGATGAAGAGTTATGGCACCCTGGGGTCTGTTCACATTTGCATGTATGCTTCTCTGCCATTCACAGCACAGCCAGTGCTAGCAGCGTGTTGAGACTGATGACAGCGACCTCAGGAGACTCCCACTCTGACAACCGTGACCCAGTATTTTCCATATCCCATTATTTCCATCTCCTCACAAATACTGGACTCGTTACACCAGAGCCTTTTGGAATCAGGCTGTCCTTATGTTTGGAGTGACCTGGTAGCATTTAGGGAGAGTTTACTGCTCAGCTGTTAATGAGGCATGGGTGGCCTGCCCTCTTCTGGTGGAATGATGCATATCAACAGTTAGGCAGAAAAGTTGGGAATATTTCATCTGGAGTTCCAAACAGAAAACTGGAGTTATGTTCACACTGACCATTCTGCAGGCTAGATAGACTGAAATCTCTCTGATACACTTCCATTGTGCTGTGATATGAGCTTAAGCTACAGGCACCATGGCTAAGGAGGAGAAGGTACACAAATTATTGTTACTTTACAGAAAAGTTTTGAACATTGCAAACATAATATGTTGAGCATGCTTTTTAACAATAATCCAAACTATATGCAACTGTATTATTCTTTTACGTTGCATGGAATGGATGCACATTTATTTCACAGTAACCAAAAAGCTCTTCTTATATTTGTAGACACAAGATAAATTTTGGAGAAACAGACCCCTACAAAACTATTCTTTAAGCCTCTGCACTCCCTGTGAATCACGTCAAATGACATCTAAGCAAAGGGCAGCTGTGTTTGTATCACAAAGTTAAAAAGCCACCAGTAAATCATTACTTGGGGGGAGTTTGTGGAAATCTCTGTATTCTGCACTAGGTGCCCTGAACCGAAACACGCCAGCAGCAGCTATACTGTCCTGTTACTGATCTCTTCCTGGCAGACAGTCACCTATTTATATCTGGTTCTTTGCCCTACAGAAGGAGGAGCGCACCATGCTGGAAGACATCCAGGTCACTCTGACAGAACTGGACAAAGTTGCCTTCTATTTCAAGCAGCTGGATGAAAGTCTTGTAGCAAGTGAGTACACTCAGTTTCTTTTAAACTCTTTTTTTCTTGTTTGTTTTATGGATTACCATCCTCCATGATTATAAATCTAACAGACATCAGGTCTGGAGAGTATTGAGCAGCAAGCTCAGTGATTTGGAGCTATGGTCTGTGCCACAGCACCTTACCTGTGTGATTTTTATAGATGTTTATAATTCTCAGTACCTCACTACCAACAGTGTAAGGACTGTCCCTCACTAGCTCTCATCTTCTGTGTCACCCCACCAACTCTCTTTCTACATTTACTGACCACAGGATGCCAGAAAACAAGATGGGATTTTGATTGTTAGCCCTGTTTGTGGTATCACTATGCTTTAGAAGATGCAGCTAGAATGATATTTCAGAACTCATTTTCTCTCAACAAAGCCTCTCCCTTATTAAGTTGATGGTGGAGACGTGAAACATCAATAGGTGATCTAACAAACTCAGGCAGCAATGGTTACAAATTTCTCCCACTGTGGTAATGCAGCGTTTTATCTTTATGTTTATTTCTGCAGATACTCATGTCTTCTACCACATCGAAGGGAGCCGTCAGGCCTTGAAGGTTATCTTTTATCTTGACAGCTACTACTTCTCCAAACTGCCTTCTCGGTTTCAGAATGGAGGAAGCTTGAAACTACACACGGTGCTATTTACAAAAGGTGTTTATAAAAAGCTTTCTTAGAAAAATAAGCTAACTGATGATAGCAAAAGGTTCGAAATAAAGAGTGACCATCAAACTCTTAACATAACGGAGCTGAAAATTACAGATATAGTTAAGAAGCAGGTGGTTCTATTCTGGGACACTCCTAGAGCGTGTTAGAGGTTCGAATAAGACACAGTCATGACAACATGATATGCCTGCCTGGGACTTTTTTTATGCCTTCCTCTAAAGCTTCAGGCCATAAAGACACACTGGGCTGTACGTGGACAATCTGATCTAGTATGGTACCAGGAGCTGCTTCCAAGCTATAGGCAAGTCTTTTTAGAAGCATGTGCTATGACAGAATCATCCAGGCTGGAACTGAAGGAATACTGACTAGATAAGCAAACATTCACACCAAAATTATATTAACGGGCAGTATTAGCCTTGACATGAGCCAACAGTCATTTGCAAAGCAGTGAAATGATGCAGAGATAAATAAGTAAAAACTTACTAAAATGTTATTATCTAAATTTAAAATATAATAAAACATTTTCTCTTTTAGCTCTAGAGAGTATGGAGGGGCAATCACAACCAGCTGGCTTATCTCTAGAAGAACTTCCACAGCAAATTAATGGTCAATCTCTAGAAAAAGTGCAGCAATACTACCGTAAACTCAGGTATTTCATACTTCTCCTTTACTTAAAACATGTCGAAAAGAGTGCTCATTGCTAAAGACATTAAAACTAATGAAAAAAATCCCACTCCTGTTGATTTCCTGTACAAATATGATTCTTGGAGATCCCCATTGTGTAAGAAACCCATTAATTTTTTTTCCCACAGCTAAGCTTGTTCTGAAGCGCTGCACTGTACAGGATGAGATTCCTGTCTGATTTGACTTCAGAACTTTGAACAGAGCTAAAATTGATAAAGTGTTTCAGGAATATTTCAGTACAGACTATATGAGTTTTGGCAACAAAATGCTTCAGTAAGAAAACACCTCTTGAAGTACAGGACTTCTCTCACAGTCTTTTCAGAAGTTTCACATAAGTACACATACGTGCTTGAAATGAGACCTGCTGACTAATGTAGTTCTTGCTGGTCTTTTTGCAGGACATTTTATCTAGAGAGGTCAAACTTGCCCACTGATTCTAATACTACTGCAGTGAAGATTGACCAGGTATTGTTATTTTGTTACTGGTTTTATTTCTATATCAGTTGGTCTCTTAAACCTCAGTTATGTGATAGCTATAAAGCAGGCCTGTACAAACCCAAATATAATTTAAAAGAATTCCCTGCCCTGAAGAAGTGCTGTAAATTTCTCTGGGGCTTTTGTTTGAAGAAAAGCGTGGGTAACTGGAGTTAACACAAGCCCTCTAATTTAGGCACTAGTAAGACTTCATATTGCCCTGTTCATCTCCTTCTAAATGGGGTATCCGATGTTAGACAGAATTAATTTATTCTTCTCTCTCACAGATGTATAAAAAATGAACTTTAGAAATTAAACTTTATTCACAATTATAGAAGGAAACACCAGGACCATGAGTGCTTCCCAGCATCTCAGCCAGAGGCAGTCTAACTGGGGCAGGTAACATGGGAATATTTGCCCATAAGGCAGTAAGTACTACTGCAGTGAAAACAAATCATCTTTGCCATTGAAACGTACAGTGTAAACAATCTCAGTGATCTGTGATAACTGCAAAAAATTGCCCCACACCTAAGTCACAGCTTGTATTTTTTCACTTTCAAATATTCATTATTGTGCAGCAGTCACTTGTGTAGTGATAGTACGTCTGGAGACAGGATAAATCCCTGTAAATTTACAACTGAAAGAGTACACCTGCCACTGATGTTTTTGTTATTCTTGTTGCTTTGTTTAGCTTATTCGTCCCATCAATGCAATGGATGAGCTTTGCAGGCTGATGAAGTCCTTCATTAACACAAAACCCAACCAGTCAGGATACTCTAGCAGTAACACATCAGGAGCTGGCCTGCTACCTATATCTTCCGAGCTCTGTTACCGACTCGGAGCCTGCCAGATTACCATGTGTGGCACTGGGATGCAGAGGTGAGATTTTGGAAACAGAAGTGTTAGTGTTGCAATGCAAAGGTTGGTCTTTTCTGGAGACTTGGGCAATATATTTGATTCAGTTTAAATCAATAGCAAGGTAGATGTTAAGGGACTATATATAATAAGGATGTAAATATGTAGGCTGAGACATAAATAGTTCTGTTAATAATTAAATTGGGCACATGAACTTTGTTTCAGTGCGTCAACCAATGCCATTCACTAAATGAGTTCATTGCATATACAGAAATTAGTGCAGAAGAGCAGTGAAACATACCTCATAGTAACATTGCTGGAGACCTGAACCATTGCAGGAAGCAAGTATAAAGGACTGAAAATGCAGGACTGAAGCTCGTTTTATAGTTTTTTAAGTGGAAAAAGTGAACTAATAGATATAAAAAAGCTAGCTAACAGAATCCATACTTAATAAATAAGTGTCCTATACTTGCCTCTATATACATTTTAAAATATGATCAATGATTTAGTATCACTTGTTCCCATGTTCAGAAGTACATTAAGTGTGTCCCTGGAGCAAGCAGCCATACTGGCTCGAAGTCATGGACTTTTGCCCAAGTGTATCATGCAAGCTACAGACATCATGCGAAAGCAAGTAAGTATTAGGACCTGTGTGTCTACTGCAAGCCACTACCTTTATTCCAGTAACATTCCAGTAACAGTAGAAACTCCTGTTTATTTCAGCATGGCATGGTATTTTGTTCACCATGAACTCATACAGTCAATCTGTTACTAGTGTCTGAACAGCTACCCATCTCTGACACAACAAATTAAGGTTTGCAGGTACAGCCATTTACAGCAATTATATGCCTCAGTATGCATTATTCAAAGTATGTGCCTTGATGGTTAGAAAGTAGAGACTAGCTAAGATATTTAAGACAATTTCTGCATGTACAAAAATCAAGTCTCAATCAGTGTTAAATTGTAGAAACTCCCCAGTGATAGACAACAGTGCTTGTAAAGTGCTTTGGGATTAATTTCATCTTTTCAGTAAACACAGATGACTAATGTATCTACCAACAGATTCCAACTTTTCTCAAAGTAGTTAATGGATTCTCAGAAAGAAAGCACACTCCTATTACGTTATTATCCCCTAAGGATCAGATCCGTTATCAATATCATCAGTACCATAAATTCTTTGTTTCTTTAGGGACCAAGAGTTGAAATCTCTGCCAAGAATCTGAAAGTGATGGACCAAATGCCGCAGAGTGCACCTCGGTAGGTTGTTCTGGATTCTGCATGTTATCTGAAATGCTTGTTTTATGTCTCTGTAACAACTATGCAGATCCTGTTGGAACCACAGATCTCCTTAGTAGTAACAGCAAGAAAAAAGAAATCATGTTCTCCTTTCTCACGGTACTAAATTAAGTGCAGCGTGGCTTAATAAGCTCAGCCTGTTACAATTTGCATATCATTAACTTCAAATGTTTCTGCATTTTCTAAAAAAAAAAAATCACTGAAGAAAAAGAAGAGTCTTTTTCAGACCATTGCTATGGGCTGATATTGCTAGTGATTGACAGCCATCTGTGGAATGCTGAGAGAGAAGAACTCCTGAATGGCAAATCTGACAGCAGATATGCAAAGACAATTCATAAGCCAGTACTTTGGCTGCAGTCCCATTGTGTGCTAAGACCCAGTTACTACACTGTATTTAAATAGAACAGGAAAAAAAAGCCAAGAAAAGGGTTGCTGAAGACCCAAATTGGGCCAAAGGTAAAAAGGAGTGATACAGTGTTTCAATTAGTATTTAAACAATGATAATAAATATTTTAGCTAATAAATAGTAAATATTTTAGCTAATAAATAGAGTTAATTATACACTTATATTTGCAATTATGAGAAATAAAAATAGTGGTATTCTTGCTATTGGGTCGCATCTAGTGCTTGCAGAATGACAAAGGAGAAGCTAGCTTTTATATACTGTGCCAGTAACTTTGTTATCTTTCTTACCACGTTTAATACCATACTCTTAATCTGCCTTAAAGACTCTACAGGCTGTGCCAGCCACCTACAGATGGGGATTTATAAACGTGACAGAGGCACCCACATTGTGGCACAAGTAAAACACGCACCAACAAGCAGCCCTGTCTGAGGACCCATGCTAACCAACGCTGTGACACTGAAACAAGAGAGGAGGAGACTCTGCTTTTGCAGGAGATGAACCTGTTGGCCCCAGGCATCAGGAATCTGCCTCTGAAGCTCTGCAGCACATGCAGGGATTCTTGTATTTCTTTGACCTCTTGAAGAAATTCTTGAAACAAACCCCACAGAACTAAGATGGATGTTACTGCCATTGGTAGATGCCTGGAACAGTGACAGTTATGCAGCAAGAAAGTGCAGTTTTACTGATAACATTTGTGCTGCCACTTAAAAGCCGTGGACTTGAAGATTTGGGTTGGTTGAGAAAACCCAGGATGACACCTCTGTCTCTCCCTGCACTGTGTCTGGCATCCATTTAATTGCCAGCATAATTTTGGTCAGTGGCCTTGAACAGTAGCTTCATAAACACCACTTTGTAATGTACTGACCTGCACTTTGGATCAACAAATAGCACAATCAATGGCTAATTCAGATGCAAGCAAAAAGAATTTCTACTGGACTCATTTTCCACTTCAGCCCAATGAGAACCAATCTCTCTATGCTGCAGAGTATACATTCCATAATACTTCTTACCATTACTTCATTTACTTACTGTAGCCTTCAGTTTGGGATTAACTCTTTTTACTAATGCTCTGTTATGTACTCTGGAAATACAATAATAATTCAGGGGAGAGATTGGAGTGAAAGATTTTAAAACAAACTTTACAAAGGAAAAATACAGTCTTAGAATCTGATTATTTGAACAGATGTAGTTTTAAAAACCCGGTCAGAAGAACTATACTTATTTATGTGGAGTGGAATATGTGTTTTGGATCATGTTATTATATATACAAGATTTAAATAAAAACTATATTGTTTAAAATGGGACCAATATGCTGGCAATTACACAGCTACTCCCAGTTTACTGAAAAGAAATCTACATTATTTAAAATCGTTCAATATTTAAGTAGTCTTTAATACAGTTATTAAGATGTATTAGGGATGCTTTTAAGTTAAAAGAAAAAAAGGAATCGTGTATATAATGTACTTTATTTTTTCTTGTTTGAAAAATTGTTTCCCATCCTGTCAGTATTATCCTAAACACAGTGATTTTTTCCAAATTACTGGCTGAAACTCATGAAACACGGCAGCATTCTCAGGACAGAAACAGTGATATTTTAGAGTGAGTGCCTTAAAACGACCGCCCATCCGTAACAAATCTGTAGCAGGTGTCAGTAGGACAGCGTGCAGGACATTCACCATTCCTTTGTTTCTCCACAGCCTCATTTTAAAGAGTCAATTGTTACAAAATCCAGAAGCGCTTTGCAGTGATGTATATTCTAGAAAATAAAGGTTTGGGATTTTTTATTTGTGAGATCGTTTGTTTTTCAGCTGGCTTAATTTTATTAACAAAACCCAACCAATTGAAATCTTCACATTAGAGTCTTTCGAGGTGGATATTGAGTTCTTTCACATTTTCTAATCTACACATCAGCACAAAACAGCTGAGGCCGAGTTGGAGGACACAAATTCTCAGTCTTGTCTCTGAATTTTTAATTATTTCTTTCTTGCCTCTCAGACTACAATAATTTGGGATAAGGAACATCTTTGGTTAAATTTCTCACTTCTAATATTTCCTCTGACCTACAGTAATCTGTTGCAGGGAACCAGGGCAGCCCAGCATCAGCCAGCTGTCAGATAGAGGGGACTTTACTATAGTAGCCATTCTGTACTGCAGTAAGATGAACAAAGCATTATTTCAGTGCACTTTCTCTCTGTTTTCCTTTTTTTTTTTTTCCCTTCAATTTTGAGAGTGATTCACACCACTTGCTGTTTGAAGAAGAAATGGATGTTTCTTTACTGAATCATCAACTTAAAATATACTTAGTATTAATCTAAATAAGAACCGTAGGAACAACCAAATGTAAAAAGAACACTTACAAACTCAGATCCTTGATTTGCCTACATCAGTTCTGTGCAGCAGAACTGCAGCAGTTTTACATAGCCTGGTGAGGATCGCTGCCCTCATTTATGCAGTCATTGTAGACATTGGAGATGCACAGAAGAGCATCTAAGGGCATTTACACTGTGCGCTGTTTTACGTTGAAATGTACATGTTATTCTCATTGAAAAACTTGATTTATATTATAAATCATGAGGACACGATCTTATTTTTCAGTTATACCCCTTGTTTCTTTAGTGCTTTAAGTTCTGTTTAATGGTTTCAGTTCCATCTGATATTTGTATGGAGCTATGAGGGGTCAGAAGTTCAACCTATAAAGGAAAAGTTGCTTTCAACATCAGCTTGAGCAGGCAGTGCAATGCTCAACTCTTCCTGTTTGTGCAGTGTGGGCTACAGATGTGGTTCCACTGCAGACTTTATATGAAAGTAGAAAAGAAAACCTGTTTTGATGCTGTAAAATTGCAATGTGGGAATTTAGAGCTGGAAAAAAAAAAAAAAAAAGATTTAAGTGGGGAAAAAAGAAGGCAGTGCAAAAAAGGACCTGCAAGTTAGAGGAGTGAATTAGGTCTGCAGAATTTCTGTGGCCAAAAGCAAAGAATGAATCAGATTTGTCACAACCAAGTAAGTGGGGATTTCAGAGATCTGGAGCATCTGATCTGCTACCATGTGAAAAACTCGATTGAGATGGAGAAAATGGAAACTCAGAGTGTGATTATGAGGTGTGTAAGCAGCTGGCTAAAGGAAAGAAGGAAAGACCGAAAAGAAAGTGGGGGTTGGGGGCATTTGCAAGTGGAATTTCTTATGTATCAGTCTTGCAGCTGAATAGGGTTAACTTTTTCGTGAATCACTGAAACACAGCTACTACAAGCCTGGGATTGATGAGAAGTTGAGAAGCACTGATCTAGAGAAGGTTCAGGATACACACAAAAAAATTCCTACGAGACTTGGCAGAGAAGTTTGAATGGAATAAGATGTTACAGTACAAACAGTAGCTCATGCAGATGAAAATTAAAGTATTTTTCTATATTTCTTGTTAACTGACAACAAAACAAGCTTGGTTGCAGAGTTTGTCACAAGATGACTCAGACTCAATCTGATAGTCATAAAAGCTCAGCTGCACCCCAAGACAGATTTCCTATTGAGAACCACTCAAGCCACTGTGCAAAGGCCTGGTGGGCTCCTGCCAGACAGCTGTGTACAGTTACAGGCACCAAATGTTTAAGTGAAATTGCAGTAGCTAGATGAGAAAACACTGAAATGCCATCAGTAAAGTGGATAAAATTCTGCAAGATACAACCAGAGGAACTGGATGCTTTTTTAGCCTAAAACACATGTGTATCTGATGCCTTTAAGTAATCATAAGAAAAGACAATTTAATAAGTACAGCCACAAGGAGTACAAGCAATTAGAGATAGCTATTGGCTGAAAATTGTTCTGAACCTTAGAAAAACTTTTCTTACAATCAGGTGCTGACAAAAAAAAAACCCCCACAAACAAAACAAACAGTCAAACAACAAAACAAAACAACATAAAGCAAAAGAAAGCCCCACCACTTTTACAAAGCTGTTCATAAAGCTCATAAAGAGCTGTAAGCAGCAGTGCCTGCACTAACAGGAGTCTCTGCAGGAGTCAATGCAGCTGTGTTTGGCTGCACAAACTGTTTGTCTACGACAGAAGATAGGAATGGTTCCTGCTCTGCCCCGTTTTGTCCATGGCATTTGCAAAGCAGAAAGCTGTTTTCCAAAACCAGGCCTAGCTATCTTTTAGCATTACACGTTTTCATATTCCACTATTCATTTACAGACTGAATTACTAGGATTTATAGATATGAAGCCATAGGTGCAGACAAGTGTCTTGCATTTTCTTTCAGAATAAAGAAAGACTGAAAAACAAAAAACACCTCGACCTGGGCTTTGCCAAATCCTTTCATCTCTGTCACATTTTCTGATCAGTAAATAGTGCTGGAGAGCTCTGAACCCTAATTATTTTATGGTTCTTAAGTGATTTGAAGATACGAAACAATAGGTGACGATGACAAGAATTTCAATTCTATTTCAAACTAATTTGAAACGCTCCTACTTCCTTAGCAGCACGTAGAGCACAGTCCCAGTATGCAGCATTATAAATACCAGGTGCAGCTTCCAAGCATTTGGCCATTATTGAGTTATAGAAGAGCAAAAAACGAACAACGAACAGCTTATGACCTCAGCTTCTTCACAACAGCATAGCACATAGGCTAACTGATAAAGTATCAGAGATCAATGAAATTAATCCAGTATATTGTGTAGCACTGCAGTGATAAAATATAAGTTCAAATAAATGAGATAAATGCTCAGGAGTTATTAACCTTAATGGGGAAGAAAGGCTTTCCAACAGTGAATTTTTCCTTCTTTGTAGAATGAGAACCCTGGCTTTGATGAGCACCACTGCCCCACCACTGGGGTCCCATCCTTCTCTATGCATAAATCCATATTTTCCTGTTAAATAACATGGTGCAATAGCAGTTTTGATGGTGCTGTCACAGCATTGCTAGGCTAAGTTACTAGAAGAGGCTTCCTGTTTAATAGAAACAAAAGAAATCCTAGTCTCCTTAAGACAGGGGTTTGAGTGCCCTCTCACTGTGCCCAATTTCTTTTGCTCTACTGAGCAATTCACTTTTCTCCTTTGGGGAGGGAACTAAGTAACTAACTGTTGTCATTGGCATTGTGAAGAGTCAAAGAAGAACTGTAAACTGTTTTGAAAAGTGTCAGCGCTGTACGAATATCCTGTAGAAACAGAAAGCTAGATAGAAAAAAAAAGATAAAGACTGTAAGGATACAAATAGAAACCTCTTAGAACAGCAGGTTTGCTTTTCATTATTCGCCTTTCACAGATGTTTTTAGATGAGCTAAGTCTGTCTGGACAATGAAAATCACTGCACTAATCCAGTGCCGTAGAACACACAAGTCCTTGAAGATGACAAAGGGCTTTTGAAAGACCTTTAATTTTTACACTTTTCACAAAGCACAGGAATGGCTGCACTACTCTGCCCACAGATTAGACCAGATTTAAAAGGCTTTTGAAAGTAAACTGGTGAGCAACTATAGGAGCATGAATCAGATTGCTGTAGCATTCCCCCATTTACAGCTCATTTTGCACCTAAGATCAATTACCTCATCTAGGCAGGGAGGGCAATGCTGAAATGACACAAGTTGTACAGTACGCTTCTGCATAAAACACACCTTTACACGGTTTTAGGAAAGTGTTCCAGAGATGATATTTTTATACCAGTTTATAGGACTGGCATTTTCAAATGTTTTGTAAAGAGAAAAGAATGTACAGAATATTTTAGAGTTGTTTTCCAGTTATGTTTGAGGGATTTTAGTATACTAATAGCGTTATATTTTTCTTCATGTTCTGTATTTTTAACTAAACACATGTATCCTGCATTAAGATAAAAGTCTTAATATAATTTGTTCAACTTTTTGTGTTGTATTGTCAAATCCATGTTGTCATTTTAGTATTACTCTTGTGTGTGTTTGGTATATTTTATGCTCTGTGTCCATCAGAGTTGAAATATCTTCATGATGGACACAGATGGTCACAATGATGGATCTTCTATCAGGGAGGATTCCAAGCACTCCTTTTGGGTTCGAAAGGTTGAAAGACAGCTAAATGAGGGACATTTCTATTGGGTTTTTTAAATTTCTGGGGTTATTGCTATTTAAGCAGAACCTTTTGGACTTCACAGAGTGAGAAAGTAAATGGAAAACTGTATTCTAAGGTCAAGTCCATTTTGTTTTATGGGACACGGGACAATTAAAAAAGCTCTATCCTGCTGTGTGTGAACTGCATTGTGTCTCTGCAGGTCGTGGAGTAAAGAACTAAGTCTCTTTCCCTTCTTCTGCAAAAAGAGTGACAAAAACTGGAGCCAAGATGCATTGCTGCCATTAATCCCCCCCAGTTGAGAATGTAAAATTTCCTGTGAGTCTAAGAACAACCCTGAGTCTCCTCACAGAGTATTAAACTCAAATTTGCATTCAGAACATCAAAGTTGGTGACAAAATATATTATTCCCATGGTGTGTGCATGGCACTAAAAGCATAGTAAGAGGAAATTCTGGACAGCCAGCTAGACTTCACAGATCAACCTTTTACTCCTAAATGCCTTCTGCCTCTGATCTACTTAGATTGCTAATGCTCTCTGCTATCTCTAGCATGGGAACTCTTGTCATTTTCCAGTCTATCCAGGAGACATTCTATTTGCTGGAAGAGTTACTGAAGAAATTAAATATGCACGTCTGAAAGGATTCAATAGCTTTCCAATAAAAAAAGAGGACAACACGAGAGTTAAGTCACTCATGTTTCTGATCAACATACAACCGTTTGTGTTCCCTCTCTTCATAGCAATAAAGAGAAACACTGCCAAACAAG